GTCCTCCACGTCCATGACCACGTCCCAGTCCACGTCCAAGTCCACGTCAACGTCCACGTCCACGTCAACGTCCACGTCCACGTCCACGTCCACGACCACGTCCACGTCCACGTCCACGTCCACGTCCACGTCCACGACCAGGTCCACGTCCACGTCCACGTCCACGTCCACGTCCACGTCCACGTCCACGTCCACGTCCACGGTCCACGTCCACGTCCACGTCCACGTCCATGTCCACGTCCACGTCCTTGTCCACGTCCACGTCCACGTCCACGTCCACGTCCACGTCCACGTCCACGTCCACGTCCACGTCCACGTCCACGACCACGTCCACGTCCACGTCCACGTCCACGTCCACGTCCACGTCCACGCCACGTCCACTACCACGTCCACGTCCACGTCCACGTCCACGTCCACGTCCACGTCCACGTCCACGTCCACGTCCACGTCCACGTCCACGTCCTCCACGTCCACGTCCACGTCCACGTCCATGTCCACGTCCACGTCCACGTCCACGTCCACGTCACGTCCACGTCCACGTCCACGTCCACGTCCACGTCCACGTCCACGTCCACGTCCACGTCACGTCCACGTCCACGTCCACGTCCACGTCCACGTCCACGTCACGTCCACGTCCACGTCCACGTCCACGTCCACGTCCACGTCCACGTCCACGGTCCACGACCACGTCCACGTCCACGTCCGGTCCACGTCCACGTCCACGTCCACGTCACGTCCACGTCCACGTCCACGTCCACGTCCACGTCCACGACCACGTCCACGTCCACGTCCACGTCCACGTCCACGTCCACGTCCACGTCCACGTCCACGTCCACGTCCACGTCCACGTCACGTCCACGTCCACGTCCACGTCCACGTCCACGTCCCGCGTCCACGTCACGTCCACGTCCACGTCCACGTCCACGTCCACGTCGTCCACGTCCACGTCCACGTCTCCACGTCCACGTCCACGTCCACGTCCACGTCCACGACACGTCCACGTCCACGTCCACGTCGTCCACGTCCACGTCCACGTCCCGTCCACGTCCACGTCCACGTCCACGTCGTCACGACCACGTCCACGTCCACGTCCATGTCCACGACACGTCCACGTCCACGTCCACGTCCACGTCCATGTCCACGTCCACGTCCACGTCCACGTCCTCCACGTCCACGTCCACGTCCACGTCCAAGTCCACGTCCACGTCCACGTCCACGTCCACGTCCACGTCCACGTCCACGTCCACGTCCACGTCCACGTCCACGTCCACGTCCACGTCCACGTCCACGTCCACGTCCACGTCCACGTCCACGTCCACGTCCACGTCCACGTCCACGTCCACGTCCACGTCCACGTCCACGTCCACGTCCATGTCCACGCAAGTCCACGTCCACGTCCACGTCCACGTCACGTCCACGTCCACGTCCACGTCCATGTCCACGTCCACGTCCACGTCACGTCCACGTCCACGTCCACGTGTCCACGTCCACGTCCACGTCCACGTCCACGTCCACGTCCACGTCCACGTCCACGTCCACGTCACGTCCACGTCCACGTCCACGTCCACGTCCACGTCCACGTCCACGTCCACGTCCACGTCCACGTCCACGTCCACGTCCACGTCCACGTCCACGTCCACGTCCACGTCCACACGTCCACGTCCACGTCCACGTCACGTCCACGTCCACGTCCACGTCCACGTCCACGTCCACGTCCACGTCCACGTCCACGTCCACGTCCACGTCCAAGTCCACGTCCACGTCCACGTCCACGTCCACGTCCACGTCCACGTCCACGTCCACGTCCACGTCCACGTCCACGTCCACGTCCACGTCCACGTCCACGTCCACGTCCACGTCCACGTCCCGTCCACGACGTCCATGTCCACGTCCACACCCCCGTCCACGTCCACGTCCACGTCCACGTCCACGTCCACGTCCACGTCCCACGTCCACGTCCACGTCCACGTCCACGTCCCGTCCACGTCCACGAACGTCCACGTCCCACGTCCACGTCCACGTCCACGTCCACGTCCACGTCCACGTCCCACGTCCACGTCCACGTCCACGTCCACGTCCACGTCCACGTCCACGTCCACGTCCACGTCCACGTCCACGTCCACGTCCACGTCCACGTCCACGTCCACGTCCACGTCCACGTCCCGTCCACGTCCACGTCCACGTCCACGTCCACGTCCACGTCCACGTCCCACGTCCACGTCCACGTCCACGTCCACGTCCACGTCCACGTCCACGTCCACGTCACGTCCACGTCCACGTCCACGTCCACGTCCACGTCCACGTCCACGTCCACGTCCACGTCCACGTCCACGTCCACGTCCACGTCCATCCACGTCCACGTCCACGTCCACGTCCACGTCCACGTCCACGTCCACGTCCACGTCCACTCCCCCGCCCACGTCCACGTCCACGTCCACGTGTCCACGTCCACGTCCACGTCCACGTCCACGTCCACGTCCACGTCCACGTCCACGTCCACGTCCACGTCCACGTCCACGTCCACGTCCACGTCCACGTCCACGTCCACGACCACGTCCACGTGTCCACGTCCACGTCCACGTCCATACGTCCTCCACGTCCACGTCCACGTCCACGTCCATGTCCACGTCCACGTCCACGTCCACGTCCACGTCCACGTCCACGTCCACGTCCACGTCCAGTCCACGTCCACGTCCACGTCCACGTCCACGTCCACGTCCACCCACGTCCACGTCCACGTCCACGTCCACGTCCACGTCCACGTCCACGTCCACGTCCACGTCCACGTCCACGTCCACGACGTCCACGTCCACGTCCACACCCACGTCCACGTCCACGTCCACGTCCACGTCCCGTCCACGTCCACGCCCACGTCCACGTCCACGTCCACGTCCACGTCCACGTCCACGTCCACGTCCACGTCCACGTCCACGTCCACGTCCACGTCCGACCACGTCCACGCCTCCACGTCCACGTCCACGTCCACGTCCACGTCATCCACGTCCACGTCCACGTCCACGTCCCGTCCACGTCCACGTCCACGTCCACGTCCACGTCCACGTCCACGTCCACGTCCACGTCCACGTCCACGTCCACGTCCACGTCCACGTCCACGTCCACGTCCACGTCCCGGTCCACGACCCACGTCCACGTCCACGTCCACGTCCACGTCCACGTCCCAGTCCACGTCCACGTCCACGTCCACGTCCACGTCAGTCCACGTCCAGTCCACGTCCACGTCCACGTCCATCCACGTCCACGTCCACGTCCACGTCCACGTCACGTCCACGTCCCGTCCACGTCCACGTCCACGTCCACGTCCACGTCCACGTCCACGTCCACGTCCACGTCCACGTCCACGTCCACGTCCACGTCCACGTCCACGTCCACGTCCACGTCCACGCCCGTCCACGTCCACGTCGTCCACGTCCACGTCCACGTCCACGTCCACGTCCACGTCGTCCACGTCCACGTCCCGTCCACGTCCACGTCCACGTCCGTCCCCCACGTCCACGTCCACGTCGTCCACGTCCACGTCCACGTCCACGTCCACGTCCACGTCCCGTCCACGTCCACGTCCACTGTCCACGTCCCATCCACGTCCACGTCCACGTCCACGTCCACGTCCACGTCCAGTCCACGTCCACGTCCACGTCCACGTCCACGTCCACGTCCACGACCACGTCCACGTCCACGTCCACGTCCACGTCCACGTCCACGTCCACGTCCACGTCCACGTCCACGTCCACGTCCACGTCCACGTCCCACGTCCACGTCCACGTCCACGTCCACGTCCCGTCCACGTCCACGTCCACGTCCACGTCCACGTCCCACCCGTCCACGTCCACGTCCACGTCCACGTCCACGTCCACGTCCACGTCCACGTCCACGTCCACGTCCCGTCCACGTCCACGTCCACGTCCACAGTCCACGTCCACGTCCACGTCCACGTCCACGTCCACGTCCACGTCCGTCCACGTCCACGTCCACGTCCACGTCCACTTCCACGTCCACGTCCACGTCCACGTCCACGTCCACGTCCACGTCCACGTCCACGTCCACGTCCACGTCCATGTCCACGACGACCCGTCCACGTCCACCGTCCACGTCCACGTCCACGTCCACGTCGTCCACGTCCACGTCCACGTCCACGTCCACGTCCACGTCCACGTCCCACGTCCACGTCCCCACGTCCACGTCCACGTCCACGTCCACGTCGTCCACGTCCACGTCCACGTCCCGTCCACGTCCACGTCCACGTCCACGTCCGTCCACGTCCACGTCCACGTCCACGTCCACGTCCACGTCCACGTCCACGTCCACGTCCAGTCCACGTCCACGTCCACGTCCACGTCCACGTCCAGTCCTCCACGTCCCTGTCCACGTCCACGTCCACGTCCACGTCCACGTCCCACGTCCACGTCCACGTCCACGTCCACGTCCACGTCCACGTCCACGTCCACGTCCGTCCACGTCCACGTCCACGTCCACGTCCACGTCCACGTCCACGTCCACGTCCACGTCCACTCCACGTCCACGTCCACGTCCACGTCCACGTCCACGTCCACGTCCACGTCCACGTCCACGTCCACGTCCACGTCCACGTCCACGTCCACGTCCACGTCCACGTCCCGTCCCACGTCCACGTCCACGTCCACGTCCACGTCCACGTCCACGTCCACGTCCACGTCCACGTCCACGTCCACGTCCATGTCCACTCCACGTCCACGTCCACGTCCACGTCCACGTCCACGTCCACGTCCGTCTGTCCACGTCCACGTCCACGTCCACGTCCACGTCCACGTCCATGTCCACGTCCACGTCCACGTCCACGTCCACGTCCACGTCCACGTCCACGTCCACGTCCACGTCCACGTCCACGTCCCACGTCCACGTCCACGTCCACGTCCACGTCCACGTCCACGTCCACGTCCACGTCCACGTCCACGTCCACGTCCAGTCCACGTCCACGTCCACGTCCACGTCCACGTCCACGTCCACGTCCACGTCCACGTCCACGTCCACGTCCACGTCCCGTCCACGTCCACGTCCACGTCCACGTCCACGTCCACGTCCACCGTCCACGTCCACGTCCACGTCCACGTCCACGTCCACGTCCCGTCCACGTCCACGTCCACGTCCACGTCCACGTCCACGTCCACGTCCACGTCCACCGTCCACGTCCACGTCCACGTCCACGTCCACGTCCACGTCCACGTCCACGTCCACGTCCACGTCCACGTCCACGTCCACGTCCACGTCCACCCCACGTCCACCCGTCCACCCATACGTCCACGTCCACGTCCACGTCCACGTCCCGTCCACGTCCAGTCCACGTCCACGTCCACGTCCACGTCCACGTCCACGTCCACGTCCACGTCCACGTCCACGTCCACGTCCACGTCCACGTCCACGTCCACGTCCACGTCCACGTCCACGTCCACGTCCACGTCCACGTCCACCCAGTCCATGTCCACGTCCACGTCCACGTCCACGCCACGTCCACGTCCACTCCACGTCCACGTCGTCCACGTCCACGTCCACACCCACGTCCACGTCCACGTCCACGTCCACGTCCACGTCCACGTCCACACCCACGTCCACGTCCACGTCCACGTCCACGTCCACGTCCACGTCCACGTCCACGTCCACGTCCACGTCCACGTCCACGTCCACGTCCATGTCCACGTCCACGTCCACGTCCACGTCCACGTCCACGTTCCACGTCCACGTCCACGTCCACGTCCACGTGTCCACGTCCACGTCCACGTCCACGTCCACGTCCACGTCCACGTCCACGTCCACGTCCACGTCCACGTCCACGTCCCGTCCACGTCCACGTCCACGTCCACGTCCACGTCCACGTCCACGTCCACGTCCAGTCCACGTCCACGTCCACGTCCACGTCCACGTCCACGTCCACGTCCACGTCCACGTCCACGTCCACGTCCACGTCCACGTCCACGTCCACGTCCACGTCCACGTCCACGTCCACGTCCACGTCCACGTCCACGTCCACGTCCACGTCCACGTCCACGTCCACGTCCACGTCCACGTCCACGTCCACGTCCACGTCCACGTCCACGTCCACGTCCACGTCCACGTCCACGTCCACGTCCACGTCCACGTCCACGTCCACGTCCACGTCCACGTCCACGTCCACGTCCACGTCCACGTCCACGTCCACGTCCACGTCCACGTCCACGTCCACGTCCACGTCCACGTCCACGTCCACGTCATCACGTTCCACGTCCACGTCCACGTCCACGTCCACGTCCACGTCCACGTCCACGTCCACGTCCACGTCCACGTCCACGTCCACGTCCACGTCCACGTCCACGTCCACGTCCACGTCCACGTCCACGTCCACGTCCACGTCCACGTCCACGTCCACGTCCACGTCCACGTCCACGTCCACGTCCACGTCCACGTCCACGTCCACCCCCACGTCCATGTCCACGTCCACGTCCACCCCCACGTCCACGTCCACGTCCACGTCCATGTCCACGTCCACGTCCACGTCCACGTCCACGTCCACGTCCACGTCCACGTCCACGTCCACGTCCACGTCCACGTCCACGTCCACGTCCACGTCCACGTCCACGTCCACGTCCATGTCCACGTCCACGTCCACGTCCACGTCCACGTCCACGTCCACGTCCACGTCCACGTCCACGTCCACGTCCACGTCCACGTCCACGTCCACGTCCACGTCCACGTCCACGTCCACGTCCACGTCCACGTCCACGTCCACGTCCACGTCCACGTCCACGTCCACGTCCACGTCCACGTCCACGTCCGACCACGTCCACGTCCACGTCCACGTCCACGTCCACGTCCACGTCCACGTCCAAGTCCACGTCCAAGTCCACGTCCAAGTCCACGTCCACGTCCACGTCCACGTCCACGTCCACGTCCACGTCCACGTCCACGTCCACGTCCACGTCCACGTCCACGTCCACGTCCACGTCCACGTCCACGTCCACGTCCACGTCCACGTCCACGTCCACGTCCACTCCACGTCCACGTCCACGTCCACGTCCACGTCCACGTCCACGTCCACGTCCACGTCGTCCACGTCCACGTCCACGTCCACGTCCACGTCCACGTCGTCCACGTCCACGTCCACGTCCACGTCCACGTCCACGTCGTCCACGTCCACGTCCACGTCGTCCACGTCCACGTCCACGTCCACGTCCACGTCCACGTCCACGTCCACGTCCACGTCCACGTCCAGGTCCACGTCCACGTCCACGTCCAGTCCACGTCCACGTCCAGGTCCACGTCCACGTCCACGTCCACGTCCACGTCCACGTCCACGTCCACGTCCACCACCACGTCCACGTCCACGTCCACGTCCACGTCCACGTCCACGTCCACGTCCACGTCCACGTCCACGTCCAGGTCCACGTCCACGTCCACGTGTCCACGTCCACGTCCACGTCCACGTCCACGTCCACGTCCACGTCCCGTCCACGTCCACGTCCACGTCCACGTCCACCACGTCCACGTCCACGTCCACGTCCGCGTCCACGTCCACGTCCACGTCCACGTCCACGTCCACGTCGTCGACCACGTCCGCGTCCACGTCCACGTCCACGTCCACGTCCACGTCCACGTCCACGTCCACGTCCACGTCCACGTCCACGTCCACGTCCACGTCCGCGTCCACGTCCACGTCCACGTCACGTCCACGTCCACGTCCACGTCCACGTCCAGTCCACTCCACGTCCAGTCCACGTCCACGTCCACGTCCACGTCCACGTCCACGTCCACGTCCACGTCCACGTCCACGTCCACGTCCACGTCCACGTCCACGTCCACGTCCACGTCCACGTCCACGTCCACGTCCACGTCCATGTCCACGTCCATGTCCACGTCCACGTCCATGTCCACGTCCACGTCCACGTCCACGTCCACGTCCACGTCCACGTCCACGTCCACGTCCACGTCCACGTCCACGTCCACGTCCACGTCCACGTCCACGTCCACGTCCACGTCCACGTCCACGTCCACGTCCACGTCCACGTCCACGTCCACGTCCACGTCCACGTCCACGTCCACGTCCACGTCCACGTCCACGTCCACGTCCACGTCCACGTCCACGTCCACGTCCACGTCCACGTCCACGTCCACGTCCACGTCCACGTCCACGTCCACGTCCACGTCCACGTCCACGTCCACGTCCACGTCCACGTCCACGTCCATGTCCACGTCCACGTCCACGTCCACGTCCATGTCCACGTCCACGTCCATGTCCACGTCCACGTCCACGTCCACGTCCACGTCCACGTCCACGTCCACGTCCACGTCCACGTCCACGTCCACGTCCACGTCCACGTCCACGTCCACCCACGTCCACGTCCACGTCCACGTCCACGTCCACGTCCACGTCCACGTCCACGTCCACGTCCACGTCCACGTCCATGTCCACGTCCACGTCCACGTCCACGTCCATGTCCACGTCCACGTCCACGTCCACGTCCACGTCCACGTCCACGTCCACGTCCACGTCCACGTCCACGTCCACGTCCACGTCCACGTCCACGTCCACGTCCACGTCCACGTCCACGTCCACGTCCACGTCCATGTCCACGTCCAAGTCCACCCACGTCCACGTCCACGTCCACGTCCACGTCCACGTCCACGTCCACGTCCATGTCCACAGCCACGTCCACGTCCACGTCCACGTCCACGTCCACGTCCACGTCCACGTCCACGTCCACGTCCACGTCCACGTCCACGTCCATGTCCACGTCCACGTCCACGTCCACGTCCACGTCCACGTCCACGTCCACGTCCACGTCCACGTCCACGTCCACGTCCAGTCCACGTCCACGTCCACGTCCACGTCCACGTCCACGTCCACGTCCACGTCCACGTCCACGTCCACGTCCACGTCCACGTCCACGTCCATGTCCACGTCCATGTCCACGTCCACGTCCACGTCCACGTCCACGTCCAGTCCACGTCCACGTCCACGTCCACGTCCACGTCCACGTCCACGTCCACGTCCACGTCCACGTCCACGTCCACGTCCACGTCCACGTCCACGTCCACGTCCACGTCCATGTCCACGTCCACGTCCACGTCCATATCCACGTCCACGTCCATGTCCACGTCCACGTCCACGTCCACGTCCATGTCCACGTCCACGTCCACGTCCATGTCCACGTCCACGTCCACGTCCACGTCCACGTCCACGTCCATGTCCACGTCCACGTCCACGTCCACGTCCATGTCCACGTCCACGTCCACGTCCACGTCACGTCCACGTCCACGTCCACGTCCATGTCCACGTCCAAGGCCTCCACGTCCACGTCCACGTCCATGTCCACGTCCACGTCCACGTCCACGTCCACGTCCACGTCCACGTCCATGTCCACGTCCACGTCCACGTCCACGTCCACGTCCACGTCCACGTCCTCCACGTCCACGTCCACGTCCATGTCCACGTCCACGTCCACGTCCAGTCCACGTCCACGTCCAGGTCCACGTCCACGTCCACGTCCACGTCCACGTCCACGTCCACGTCCACGTCCACGTCCACGTCCACGTCCACGTCCACGTCCACGTCCACGTCCACGTCCACGTCCACGTCCATGTCCACGTCCACGTCCATGTCCACGTCCACGTCGTCCACGTCCACGTCCACGTCCACGTCCACGTCCACGTCGTCCACGTCCACGTCCACGTCGTCCACGTCCACGTCCACGTCCACGTCCACGTCCACGTCCACGTCCACGTCCACGTCCACGTCCACGTCCAGTCCACGTCCACGTCCACGTCCACGTCCACGTCCACGTCCACGACCACGTCCACGTCCACGACCACGTCCACGTCCACGTCCACGTCCACGTCCACGTCCACGTCCACATCCACGTCCACGTCCACGTCCAGGTCCACGTCCACGTCCACGTCCACGTCCACGTCCACGTCCACGTCCACGTCCACGTCCACGTCCACGTCCACGTCCACGTCCACGTCCACGTCCACGTCCACGTCCACGTCCCGGTCCACGTCCACGTCCACGTCACGTCCACGTCCACGTCCACGTCCGCCACGTCCACGTCCATCCACGTCCACGTCCACGTCCACGTCCACGTCCACGTCCACGTCCACGTCCTCGTCCACGTCCACGTCCACGTCCACGTCCACGTCCACGTCCACGTCCACGTCCACGTCCACGTCCACGTCCACGTCCACGTCCACGTCCACGTCCACGTCCACGTCCACGTCCACGTCCCGTCCACGTCCACGTCCACGTCCACGTCCACGTCCACGTCCACGTCCGTCCACGTCCACGTCCACGTCCGCGTCCACGTCCACGTCCACGTCCACGTCCACGTCCACGTCCACGTCCACGTCCACGTCCACGTCCACGTCCCGTCCACGTCCACGTCCACGTCCACGTCCACGTCCACGTCCACGTCCACGTCCACGTCCACGTCCACGTCCACGTCCACGTCCACGTCCACGTCCACGTCCACGTCCGCGTCCACGTCCACGTCCACGTCCACGTCCACGTCCACGTCCACGTCCCGTCCACGTCCACGTCCACGTCCGCGTCCACGTCCACGTCCACGTCCACGTCCACGTCCGCGTCCACGTCCGTCCACGTCCACGTCCACGTCCACGTCCACGTCCACGTCCACGTCCACGTCCACGTCCACGTCCACGTCCACGTCCACGTCCACGTCCACGTCCACGTCCACGTCCACGTCCACGTCCCGTCCACGTCCACGTCCACGTCCACGTCCACGTCCACGTCCACGTCCGCGTCCACGTCCGCGTCCACGTCCGCGTCCACGTCCACGTCCACGTCCACGTCCACGTCCACGTCCACGTCCGCGTCCACGTCCACGTCCACGTCCACGTCCACGTCCACGTCCACGTCCACGTCCACGTCCGCGTCCACGTCCACGTCCACGTCCACGTCCACGTCGTGGACGACCACGTCCACGTCTCCGTCCACGTCCACGTCCACGTCCACGTCGTGGACGACCACGTCCACGTCCACGTCCACGACCACGTCCACGTCCACGTCCACGTCCACGTCCACGTCCACGTCCACGTCGTGGACGTCCACGTCCACGTCTCCGTCCACGTCCACGTCTACGTCCACGTCGTGGACGACCACGTCCACGTCTACGTCCACGTCAACAACCACGACCACGTCCACGTCCACGTCCACGACCACGTCCACGTCCACGTCCACGACCACGTCCACGTCCACGTCCACGTCCAAGTCCTCCACGTCCATGACCACGTCCACGTCCACGTCCACGTCCATGCCCACGTCCACGTCCACGTCCACGTCCACGTCCACGTCCACGTCCACGACCACGTCCACGTCCACGTCCACTTCCACGTCCACGTCCACGTCCACGTCCACGTCCACGACCAGGTCCACGTCCACGACCAGGTCCACGTCCACGTCCACGTCCACGTCCACGTCCACGTCCACGTCCACGTCCACGTCCACGTCCACGTCAACGTCCACGTCCACGTCCACGTCCACGTCCACGTCCACGTCCACGTCCACGTCCACGTCCATGTCCACGTCCATGTCCACGTCCATGTCCACGTCCATGTCCACGTCCAGGTCCACGTCCACGACCACGTCCAGGTCCACGTCCACGTCCACGTCCACGTCCACGTCCACGTCCACGACCACGTCCAGGTCCACGTCCACGTCCACGTCCACGTCCACGTCCACATCCACGTCCACGTCCACGTCCACGTCCACGTCCACGTCCATGTCCACGTCCATGTCCACGTCCACGTCCACGACCATGTCCACGTCCATGTCCACCTCCACGTCCACGTCCACGTCCACGTCCACGTCCACGTCCATGTCCACGTCCACGTCCATGTCCACCTCCACGTCGACGTCCACGTCCACGTCCACGTCCACGTCCATGTCCACGTCCACGTCCACGTCCATGTCCACGTCCACGTCCATGTCTACGTCCACGTCCACGTCCACGTCCATGTCCACGTCCACATCCACGTCCATGTCCACGTCCACGTCCACGTCCACGTCCACATCCACGTCCATGTCCACGTCCACGTCCCACATCCACGTCCATGTCCACGTCCATGTCCACGTCCACGTTCATGTCCACGTCCACGTCCACGTCCATGTCCACGTCCAAGGCCTCCATGTCCACGTCCACGTCTATGTCCATGTCCACGTCCACGTCCATGTCCACGTCCACGTCCAAGTCCATGTCCACGTCCACGTCCACGTCCACGTCCATGTCCACGTCCAAGTCCTCCACGTCCACGTCCACGTCCATGTCCACGTCCACGTCCACGTCCACGTCCACGTCCAGGTCAACGTCTACGTCCACGTCCACGTCCACGTCCACCTCCACGTCCACGTCCACGTCCACGTCCACGTCCACCTCCACGTCCACCTCCACATCCACGTCCACGTCCATGTCCACGTCCACGTCCACGTCCACGTCCACGTCGTCCACGTCCACGTCCACGTCCACGTCCACGTCCACGTCCACGTCGTCCACGTCCACGTCCACGTCGTCCACGTCCACGTCCACGTCCACGTCCACGTCCACGTCCACGTCCACGTCCACGTCCAGGTCCACGTCCACATCCACGTCCACGACCACGTCCACGTCCACGACCACGTCCACGTCCACGACCACGTCCACGGCCACGACCACGTCCACGTCCACGACCACGTCCACATCCAGGACCACGTCCACGTCCAGGTCCACGTCCACGTCCAGGTCCACGTCCAGGTCCACGTCCACGACCACGTCCACGACCACGTCGACGTCCACGTCCACGTCCACGTCCACGTCCGCGTCCACATCCGCGTCCACGTCCGCGTCCACGTCCGCGTCCACGTCCGCGTCCACGTCCGCGTCCACGTCCGCGGTCCACGTCCGCGTCCACGTCCGCGTCCACGTCCGCGTCCACGTCCGCGTCCACGTCCGCGTCCACGTCCGCGTCCACGTCCGCGTCCACGTCCGCGTCCACGTCCGCGTCCACGTCCGCGTCCACGTCCGCGTCCACGTCCGCGTCCACGTCCGCGTCCACGTCCGCGTCCACGTCCGCGTCCACGTCCGCGTCCACGTCCGCGTCCACGTCCGCGTCCCCACGTCCACGTCCACGTCCACGTCCACGTCGTGGACGACCACGTCCACGTCTCCGTCCACGTCCACGTCTACGTCCACGTCGTGGACGACCACGTCCACGTCTACGTCCACGTCCACGACCACGACCACGTCCACGTCCACGTCCACGTCCACGTCCCCGTCCACGTCGTGGACGACCACGTCCACGTCTCCGTCCACGTCCACGTCTACGTCCACGTCGTGGACGACCACGTCCACGTCTACGTCCACGTCCACAACCACGACCACGTCCACGTCCACGTCCACGACCACGTCCACGTCCACGTCCACGTCCAAGTCCTCCACGTCCATGACCACGTCCACGTCCACGTCCACGTCCATGCCCACGTCCACGTCCACGTCCACGACCACGTCCACGTCCACGTCCACGACCACGTCCACGTCCACGTCCACTTCCACGTCCACGTCCACGTCCACGTCCACGTCCACGACCAGGTCCACGTCCACGACCAGGTCCACGTCCACGTCCACGTCCACGTCCACGTCCACGTCCACGTCCACGTCCACGTCCACGTCCACGTCCACGTCAACGTCCACGTCCACGTCCACGTCCACGTCCACGTCCACGTCCACGTCCACGTCCACGTCCACGTCCACGTCCATGTCCACGTCCATGTCCACGTCCATGTCCACGTCCACGTCCACGACCACGTCCACGTCCATGTCCACGTCCACGTCCACGTCCACGTCCACGTCCACGTCCACGTCCACGTCCACGTCCACGTCCATGTCCACCTCCATGTCCACCTCCACGTCCACGTCCACGTCCACCTCCACGTCCACGTCCACGTCCACGTCCATGTCCACGTCCACGTCCACGTCCACGTCCACGTCCACGTCCACGTCCACGTCCACGTCCACGTCCACGTCCACGTCTACGTCCACGTCCACGTCCACGTCCACGTCCACGTCTACGTCCACGTCTACGTCCACGTCCACGTCCACGTCCACGTCCACGTCCACGTCCACGTCTCCACGTCCACGTCCACGTCCAACGTCCACGTCCACGTCCACGTCCACGTCCACGTCCGTCCGCGTCCACGTTCACGTCCGCGTCCACGTCCACGTCCACGTCCACGTCCACGTCCACGTCCACGTCCACGTCCGCGTCCACGTCCACGTCCACGTCCACGTCCACGTCCACGTCCACGTCCACGTCCACGTCCACGTCCACGACCATGTCCACGTCCACGTCCACGACCACGTCCAGGTCCACGTCCACGTCCATGTCCACGTCCAAGTCCACGTCGTGGACGACCCACGTCCACGTCTACGACCACGTCCACGACCACGACCACGTCCACGTCCACGTCCACGACCACGACCAAGTCCACGTCCACGTCCACGTCCAAGTCCTCCACGTCCACGACCACGTCCACGTCCACGTCCACGTCCATGTCCACGTCCACGTCCACGTCCACGTCCACGTCCACGTCCATGTCCATGTCAACGTCCACGTCCACGACCACGTCCACGTCCATGTCCACGTCCACGTCCACGTCCACGTCCATGTCCACGTCCACGTCCACGTCCACGTCCACGTCCACGTCCACGTCCATGTCCACGTCCACGTCCACGTCCATGTCTACGTCCACGTCCATGTCCACGTCCATGTCCATGTCCAAGTCCTCCACGTCCACGTCCACGACCACGACGAAGTCCTCCACGTCCACGACCACGTCCACGACCACGTCCACGTCCACGTCCACGTCCACGTCCATGTTCACGTCCACGTCCACGTCCACGTCTATGTCCACGTCCACGTCCACGACCACGTCCACGTCCACGTCCACGTCCATGTCCACGTCCAAGTCCACGTCCACGTCCACGTCCACGTCCACGTCCATGTCCATGTCCAAGTCCACCCACGTCCACGTCGACGTCCACGTCAACGTCCACGTCCACGTCCACGTCCATGTCCACGTGCAGGCCACGTCCACGTCCACGTCCACGCCCACGTCCACGTCCATGTCCACGTCCACGTCCACGTCCACGTCCACGTCCCAACCATGTCCACGTCCGTGTCCACGTCCGTGTCCACGTCCATGTCCACGTCCGTGTCCACGTCCCTGTCCACGTCCACGTCCACGTCCATGTCCACGTCCATGACTACGTCCACGTCCACGTCCAGGTCCACGTCCCTGTCCACGTCCACATCCACGTCCACGTCCATATTCACGTCCACGTCTACGTCCACGTCCACGTCCACGTCCACGTCCATGTCCACGTCCATGTCCACGTCCACGTCCACGTCCATATCCACGTCCACGTCCACGTCCACGTCCACGTCCACGTCCACGTCCACGTCCACGTCCACGTCCACGTCCACGTCCACGTCCACGACCACGTCCAGGTCCACGTCCACGTCCACGTCCACGTCCAGGTCCACGTCCACGACCACGTCCACGTCCAGGTCCACGTCCACGTCCACGTCCACGTCCAGGTCCACGTCCACGACCACGTCCACGTCCACGTCCATGTCCACGTCCAGGTCCACGTCCACGACCACGTCCACGTCCACGTCCACGTCCACGTCCATGTCCACGTCCACGTCTACGACCACGTCCAGGTCCACGTCCACGTCCACATCCACGTCCACGTCCACGTCCACGTCCAGGTCCACGTCCACGTCCACATCCACGTCCACGTCCACGACCACGTCCACGTCCATGTCCACGACCACGTCCATGTCCATGTCCACGTCCACGTCCACGTCCACGACCATGTCCACGTCCACGTCCACGTCCATGTCCACGTCCACGTCCACGTCCACGTCCACGTCCATTTCCACGTCCACGTCCACGACCATGTCCACGTCCACATCCACGTCCACCGCGTCCACGTCCACGTCCTCCGTGTCCACGTCCACGTCCTCCGCGTCCACGTCCACGTCCACATCCACGACCACGTCCATATTCACGTCCACGTCCATGTCCATGTCCACGTCCACGTCCACGTCCATATCCACGTCCACGTCCACGTCCACGTCCACGTCCACGTCCACGTCCACGTCCATGTCCACGTCTACGTCCACGTCCACGTCCACGTCCACGTCCACGTCCACGACCACGTCCAGGTCCACGTCCACGACCACGTCCACGTCCACGTCCACGACCACGTCCACGTCCACGTCCACGTCCAAGTCCTCCACGTCCATGACCACGTCCACGTCCACGTCCACGTCCATGCCCACGTCCACGTCCACGTCCACGTCCACGTCCACGTCCACGACCACGTCCACATCCACGTCCACTTCCACGTCCACGTCCACGTCCACGTCCACGTCCACGACCAGGTCCACGTCCACGACCAGGTCCACGTCCACGTCCACGTCCACGTCCACGTCCACGTCCACGTCCACGTCCACGTCCACGTCCACGTCCACGTCCACGTCCACGTCCATGTCCACGTCCACGTCCACGTCCATGTCCACGTCCATGTCCACGTCCACGTCCACGACCATGTCCACGTCCATGTCCACCTCCACGTCCACGTCCACGTCCACGTCCACGTCCACGTCCACGTCCACGTCCATGTCCACCTCCACGTCCACGTCCACGTCCACGTCCACGTCCACGTCCACGTCCACGTCCACGTCCACGTCCACGTCCACGTCCATGTCCACGTCCACGTCCACGTCCATGTCCACGTCCACGTCCACGTCCACGTCCATGTCTACGTCCACGTCCACGTCCACGTCCACGTCCACGTCCACGTCCACGTCCACGTCCACGTCCACGTCCACGTCCACGTCCACGTCCACGTCCACGTCAACGTCCACGTCCACGTCCACGTCCACGTCCACGTCCACGTCCATGTCCATGTCCAAGTCCACCCACGTCCACGTCAGCGTCCACGTCAACGTCCACGTCCACGTCCACGTCCATGTCCACGTGCAGGCCACGTCCACGTCCACGTCCAGGTCCATGTCCACGACCACGTCCACGTCCACGTCCACGTCCACGTCCATGTCCACGTCCATGTCCACGTCTACGACTACGTCCACGTCCACGTCCACGTCCACGTCCACGTCCACGTCCACGTCCACGTCCACGACCAGGTCCACGTCCACGACCAGGTCCACGTCCACGTCCACGTCCACGTCCACGTCCACGTCCACGTCCACGTCCACGTCCACGTCCATGTCCACGTCCATGTCCACGTCCACGTCCACGACCATGTCCACGTCCATGTCCACCTCCACGTCCACGTCCACGTCCACGTCCACGTCCACGTCCATGTCCACGTCCACGTCCATGTCCACCTCCACGTCCACGTCCACGTCCACGTCCACGTCCACGTCCATGTCCACGTCCACGTCCACGTCCATGTCCACGTCCACGTCCATGTCTACGTCCACGTCCACGTCCACGTCCATGTCCACGTCCACATCCACGTCCATGTCCACGTCCACGTCCACGTCCACGTCCACATCCACGTCCATGTCCACGTCCACGTCCACATCCACGTCCATGTCCACGTCCATGTCCACGTCCACGTTCATGTCCACGTCCACGTCCACGTCCATGTCCACGTCCAAGGCCTCCATGTCCACGTCCACGTCTATGTCCATGTCCACGTCCACGTCCATGTCCACGTCCACGTCCAAGTCCATGTCCACGTCCACGTCCACGTCCACGTCCATGTCCACGTCCAAGTCCTCCACGTCCACGTCCACGTCCATGTCCACGTCCACGTCCACGTCCAAGTCCACGTCCACGTCCAGGTCAACGTCCACGTCCACGTCCACGTCCACGTCCACGTCCACCTCCACGTCCACGTCCACGTCCACGTCCACGTCCACCTCCACGTCCACCTCCACATCCACGTCCACGTCCATGTCCACGTCCACGTCCACGTCCACGTCCACGTCGTCCACGTCCACGTCCACGTCCACGTCCACGTCCACGTCGTCCACGTCCACGTCCACGTCGTCCACGTCCACGTCCACGTCCACGTCCACGTCCACGTCCACGTCCACGTCCACGTCCAGGTCCACGTCCACATCCACGTCCACGACCACGTCCACGTCCACGACCACGTCCACGTCCACGACCACGTCCACGGCCACGACCACGTCCACGTCCACGACCACGTCCACATCCAGGACCACGTCCACGTCCAGGTCCACGTCCACGTCCAGGTCCACGTCCAGGTCCACGTCCACGACCACGTCCACGACCACGTCGACGTCCACGTCCGCGTCCACGTCCGCGTCCACGTCCGCGTCCACGTCCGCGTCCACGTCCGCGTCCACGTCCGCGTCCACGTCCGCGTCCACGTCCGCGTCCACGTCCGCGTCCACGTCCGCGTCCACGTCCGCGTCCACGTCCGCGTCCACGTCCGCGTCCACGTCCGCGTCCACGTCCGCGTCCACGTCCGCGTCCACGTCCGCGTCCACGTCCGCGTCCACGTCCACGTCCACGTCCACGTCCACGTCGTGGACGACCACGTCCACGTCTCCGTCCACGTCCACGTCTACGTCCACGTCGTGGACGACCACGTCCACGTCTACGTCCACGACCACGACCACGTCCACGTCCACGTCCACGTCCACGTCCCCGTCCACGTCGTGGACGACCACGTCCACGTCTCCGTCCACGTCCACGTCTACGTCCACGTCGTGGACGACCACGTCCACGTCTACGTCCACGTCAACAACCACGACCACGTCCACGTCCACGTCCACGACCACGTCCACGTCCACGTCCACGTCCAAGTCCTCCACGTCCATGACCACGTCCACGTCCACGTCCACGTCCATGCCCACGTCCACGTCCACGTCCACGTCCACGTCCACGTCCACGTCCACGACCACGTCCACGTCCACGTCCACTTCCACGTCCACGTCCACGTCCACGTCCACGTCCACGACCAGGTCCACGTCCACGACCAGGTCCACGTCCACGTCCACGTCCACGTCCACGTCCACGTCCACGTCCACGTCCACGTCCACGTCGACGTCCACGTCCACGTCCACGTCCACGTCCACGTCCATGTCCACGTCCATGTCCACGTCCATGTCCACGTCCATGTCCACGTCCAGGTCCACGTCCACGACCACGTCCAGGTCCACGTCCACGTCCACGTCCACGTCCACGTCCACGTCCACGACCACGTCCAGGTCCACGTCCACGTCCACGTCCACGTCCACGTCCACGTCCACGTCCAGGTCCACGTCCACGTCCACGACCACGTCCACGTCCACGTCCACGTCCACGTCCACGTCCACGTCCACGTCCACGACCACGTCCACCTCCACGTCCATGTCCACGTCCACGTCCACGTCCACGACCATGTCCACGTCCACGTCCACGTCCACGTCCATGTCCACGTCCACGTCCACGTCCACGTCCACGTCCACGTCCATGTCCACGTCCACGTCCACGTCCACGTCCACGTCCACGTCCACGTCCTCCGCGTCCACGTCCACGTCCTCCGCGTCCACGTCCACGTCCACATCCACGACCACGTCTACGTCCACGACCACGACCACGACCACGTCCATGTCCACGTCCACGTCCACGACCACGTCCACGTCCACGTCCACGTCCACGTGCAAGTCCACGTCGTGGACGGCCACGTCCACGTCTACGACCACGTCCACGACCAGGACCACGTCCACGTCCACGTCCACGTCCACGTCCATGACCACGTCCACGTCCACGTCCATGTCCACGTCCAAGTCCTCCACGTCCACGACCACGTCCACGCCCACGTCCACGTCAACATCCACGTCCATGACCACTCCACGTCCACGTCCACGTCCACGTCCAGGTCCATGTCCACGACCACGTCCACGTCCACGTCCACGTCCACGTCCATGTCCACGTCCATGTCCACGTCTACGACTACGTCCACGTCCACGTCCACGTCCACGTCCACGTCCACGTCCACGTCCACGTCCATGACCAGGTCCACGTCCACGACCAGGTCCACGTCCACGTCCACGTCCACGTCCACGTCCACGTCCACGTCCACGTCCACGTCCACGTCCATGTCCACGTCCATGTCCACGTCCACGTCCACGACCATGTCCACGTCCATGTCCACCTCCACGTCCACGTCCACGTCCACGTCCACGTCCACGTCCATGTCCACGTCCACGTCCATGTCCACCTCCACGTCGACGTCCACGTCCACGTCCACGTCCACGTCCATGTCCACGTCCACGTCCACGTCCATGTCCACGTCCACGTCCATGTCTACGTCCACGTCCACGTCCACGTCCATGTCCACGTCCACATCCACGTCCATGTCCACGTCCACGTCCACGTCCACGTCCACATCCACGTCCATGTCCACGTCCACGTCCACATCCACGTCCATGTCCACGTCCATGTCCACGTCCACGTTCATGTCCACGTCCACGTCCACGTCTATGTCCACGTCCAAGGCCTCCATGTCCACGTCCACGTCTATGTCCATGTCCACGTCCACGTCCATGTCCACGTCCACGTCCAAGTCCATGTCCACGTCCACGTCCACGTCCACGTCCATGTCCACGTCCAAGTCCTCCACGTCCACGTCCACGTCCACGTCCACGTCCACGTCCACGTCCACGTCCACGTCCAGGTCAACGTCTACGTCCACGTCCACGTCCACGTCCACCTCCACGTCCACGTCCACGTCCACGTCCACGTCCACCTCCACGTCCACCTCCACATCCACGTCCACGTCCATGTCCACGTCCACGTCCACGTCCACGTCCACGTCGTCCACGTCCACGTCCACGTCCACGTCCACGTCCACGTCCACGTCGTCCACGTCCATGTCCACGTCGTCCACGTCCACGTCCACGTCCACGTCCACGTCCACGTCCACGTCCACGTCCACGTCCAGGTCCACGTCCACATCCACGTCCACGACCACGTCCACGTCCACGACCACGTCCACGTCCACGACCACGTCCACGGCCACGACCACGTCCACGTCCACGACCACGTCCACATCCAGGACCACGTCCACGTCCAGGTCCACGTCCACGTCCAGGTCCACGTCCAGGTCCACGTCCACGACCACGTCCACGACCACGTCGACGTCCACGTCGACGTCCACGTCCACGTCCGCGTCCACATCCGCGTCCACGTCCGCGTCCACGTCCGCGTCCACGTCCGCGTCCACGTCCGCGTCCACGTCCGCGTCCACGTCCGCGTCCACGTCCGCGTCCACGTCCGCGTCCACGTCCGCGTCCACGTCCGCGTCCACGTCCGCGTCCACGTCCGCGTCCACGTCCGCGTCCACGTCCGCGTCCACGTCCGCGTCCACGTCCGCATCCACGTCCGCGTCCACGTCCACGTCCACGTCCACGTCCACGTCGTGGACGACCACGTCCACGTCTCCGTCCACGTCCACGTCTACGTCCACGTCGTGGACGACCACGTCCACGTCTACGTCCACGTCCACGACCACGACCACGTCCACGTCCACGTCCACGTCCACGTCCCCGTCCACGTCGTGGACGACCACGTCCACGTCTCCGTCCACGTCCACGTCTACGTCCACGTCGTGGACGACCACGTCCACGTCTACGTCCACGTCCACAACCACGACCACGTCCACGTCCACGTCCACGACCACGTCCACGTCCACGTCCACGTCCAAGTCCTCCACGTCCATGACCACGTCCACGTCCACGTCCACGTCCATGCCCACGTCCACGTCCACGTCCACGTCCACGTCCACGTCCACGTCCACGACCACGTCCACGTCCACGTCCACTTCCACGTCCACGTCCACGTCCACGTCCACGTCCACGACCAGGTCCACGTCCACGACCAGGTCCACGTCCACGTCCACGTCCACGTCCACGTCCACGTCCACGTCCACGTCCACGTCCACGTCCACGTCCACGTCAACGTCCACGTCCACGTCCATGTCCACGTCCACGTCCACGTCCACGTCCACGTCCACGTCCACGTCCACGTCCATGTCCACGTCCATGTCCACGTCCATGTCAGTCCACGTCCACGACCACGTCCACGTCCATGTCCACGTCCACGTCCACGTCCACGTCCACGTCCACGTCCACGTCCACGTCCACGTCCATGTCCACCTCCATGTCCACGTCCACGTCCACGTCCACGTCCACGTCCACGTCCACGTCCACGTCCACGTCCATGTCCACGTCCACGTCCACGTCCACGTCCACGTCCACGTCCACGTCCACGTCCACGTCCACGTCCACGTCCACGTCCACGTCCACGTCTACGTCCACGTCCACGTCCACGTCCACGTCCACGTCTACGTCCACGTCTACGTCCACGTCCACGTCCACGTCCACGTCCACGTCCACGTCCACGTCCACGTCCACGTCCACGTCAACGTCCACGTCCACGTCCCCGTCCACGTCCACGTCCGTCCGCGTCCACGTTCACGTCCGCGTCCACGTCCACGTCCACGTCCACGTCCACGTCCACGTCCACGTCCGCGTCCACGTCCACGTCCACGTCCACGTCCACGTCCACGTCCACGTCCACGTCCACGTCCACGACCATGTCCACGTCCACGTCCACGACCACGTCCAGGTCCACGTCCACGTCCATGTCCACGTCCAAGTCCACGTCGTGGACGACCACGTCCACGTCTACGACCACGTCCACGACCACGACCACGTCCACGTCCACGTCCACGACCACGACCAAGTCCACGTCCACGTCCACGTCCAAGTCCTCCACGTCCACGACCACGTCCACGTCCACGTCCACGTCCATGTCCACGTCCACGTCCACGTCCACGTCCACGTCCACGTCCATGTCCATGTCAACGTCCACGTCCACGACCACGTCCACGTCCATGTCCACGTCCACGTCCACGTCCACGTCCATGTCCACGTCCACGTCCACGTCCACGTCCACGTCCACGTCCACGTCCATGTCCACGTCCACGTCCACGTCCATGTCTACGTCCACGTCCATGTCCACGTCCATGTCCATGTCCAAGTCCTCCACGTCCACGTCCACGTCCACGTCCACGACCACGTCCACGACCACGTCCACGTCCACGTCCACGTCCACGTCCATGTTCACGTCCACGTCCACGTCCACGTCTATGTCCACGTCCACGTCCACGACCACGTCCACGTCCACGTCCACGTCCATGTCCACGTCCAAGTCCACGTCCACGTCCACGTCCACGTCCACGTCCATGTCCATGTCCAAGTCCACCCACGTCCACGTCGACGTCCACGTCAACGTCCACGTCCACGTCCACGTCCATGTCCACGTGCAGGCCACGTCCACGTCCACGTCCACGCCCACGTCCACGTCCATGTCCACGTCCACGTCCACGTTCACGTCCACGTCCCAACCATGTCCACGTCCGTGTCCACGTCCGTGTCCACGTCCATGTCCACGTCCGTGTCCACGTCCCTGTCCACGTCCACGTCCACGTCCATGTCCACGTCCATGACCACGTCCACGTCCACGTCCAGGTCCACGTCCCTGTCCACGTCCACATCCACGTCCACGTCCATATTCACGTCCACGTCTACGTCCACGTCCACGTCCACGTCCACGTCCATGTCCACGTCCATGTCCACGTCCACGTCCACGTCCATATCCACGTCCACGTCCACGTCCACGTCCACGTCCACGTCCACGTCCACGTCCACGTCCACGTCCACGTCCACGACCACGTCCAGTTCCACGTCCACGTCCACGTCCACGTCCAGGTCCACGTCCACGACCACGTCCACGTCCAGGTCCACGTCCACGTCCACGTCCACGTCCAGGTCCACGTCCACGACCACGTCCACGTCCACGTCCATGTCCACGTCCAGGTCCACGTCCACGACCACGTCCACGTCCACGTCCACGTCCACGTCCATGTCCACGTCCACGTCTACGACCACGTCCAGGTCCACGTCCACGTCCACATCCACGTCCACGTCCACGTCCACGTCCAGGTCCACGTCCACGTCCACATCCACGTCCACGTCCACGACCACGTCCACGTCCATGTCCACGACCACGTCCATGTCCATGTCCACGTCCACGTCCACGTCCACGACCATGTCCACGTCCACGTCCACGTCCATGTCCACGTCCACGTCCACGTCCACGTCCACGTCCATTTCCACGTCCACGTCCACGACCATGTCCACGTCCACATCCACGTCCACCGCGTCCACGTCCACGTCCTCCGTGTCCACGTCCACGTCCTCCGCGTCCACGTCCACGTCCACATCCACGACCACGTCCATATTCACGTCCAAGTCCATGTCCATGTCCACGTCCACGTCCACGTCCATATCCACGTCCACGTCCACGTCCACGTCCACGTCCACGTCCACGTCCACGTCCACGTCCAGGTCCACGTCCACGTCCACGTCCACGTCCACGTCCACGACCACGTCCAGGTCCACGTCCACGTCCACGTCCACGTCCACGTCCACGACCACGTCCAGGTCCACGTCCACGTCCACGTCCACGTCCACGTCCACGTCCACATCCACGTCCAGGTCCACGTCCACGTCCACGACCACGTCCACGTCCACGTCCACGTCCACGTCCACGTCCACGTCCACGACCACGTCCACCTCCACGTCCATGTCCACGTCCACGTCCACGTCCACGACCATGTCCACGTCCACGTCCACGTCCACGTCCACGTCCACGTCCACGTCCATGTCCTCGTCCACGTCCACGTCCACGTCCACGTCCACGTCCATGTCCACGTCCACGTCCACGTCCACGTCCATGTCCACGTCCACGTCCACGTCCTCCGCGTCCACGTCCACGTCCTCCGCGTCCACGTCCACGTCCACATCCACGACCACGTCTACGTCCACGACCACGACCACGTCCATGTCGACGTCCACGTCCACGACCACGTCCACGTCCACGTCCACGTCCACGTGCAAGTCCACGTCGTGGACGGCCACGTCCACGTCTACGACCACGTCCACGACCAGGACCACGTCCACGTCCACGTCCACGTCCATGACCACGTCCACGTCCACGTCCATGTCCACGTCCAAGTCCTCCACGTCCACGACCACGTCCACGCCCACGTCCACGTCAACATCCACGTCCATGACCACTCCACGTCCACGTCCACGTCCACGTCCAGGTCCATGTCCACGACCACGTCCACGTCCACGTCCACGTCCACGTCCATGTCCACGTCCATGTCCACGTCTACGACTACGTCCACGTCCACGTCCACGTCCACGTCAACGTCCACGTCCACGTCCACGTCCACGTCCACGTCCACGTCCACGACCAGGTCCACGTCCACGACCAGGTCCACGTCCACGTCCACGTCCACGTCCACGTCCACGTCCACGTCCACGTCCACGTCCACGTCCACGTCCACGTCCACGTCCACGTCCACGTCCACGTCCACGTCCATGTCCACGTCCATGTCCACGTCCACGTCCACGACCATGTCCACGTCCATGTCCACCTCCACGTCCACGTCCACGTCCACGTCCACGTCCACGTCCATGTCCACGTCCACGTCCATGTCCACCTCCACGTCCACGTCCACGTCCACGTCCACGTCCACGTCCATGTCCACGTCCACGTCCACGTCCATGTCCACGTCCACGTCCATGTCTACGTCCACGTCCACGTCCACGTCCATGTCCACGTCCATGTCCACGTCCACATCCACGTCCATGTCCACGTCCACGTCCACGTCCACGTCCACATCCACGTCCAGGTCCACGTCCACGTCCACATCCACGTCCATGTCCACGTCCATGTCCACGTCCACGTTCATGTCCACGTCCACGTCCACGTCCATGTCCACGTCCAAGGCCTCCATGTCCACGTCCACGTCTATGTCCATGTCCACGTCCACGTCCATGTCCACGTCCACGTCCAAGTCCATGTCCACGTCCACGTCCACGTCCACGTCCATGTCCACGTCCAAGTCCTCCACGTCCACGTCCACGTCCATGTCCACGTCCACGTCCACGTCCACGTCCACGTCCAGGTCAACGTCCACGTCCACGTCCACGTCCACGTCCACCTCCACGTCCACGTCCACGTCCACGTCCACCTCCACGTCCACCTCCACATCCACGTCCACGTCCATGTCCACGTCCACGTCCACGTCCACGTCCACGTCGTCCACGTCCACGTCCACGTCCACGTCCACGTCCACGTCGTCCACGTCCACGTCCACGTCGTCCACGTCCACGTCCACGTCCACGTCCACGTCCACGTCCACGTCCACGTCCACGTCCACGTCCAGGTCCACGTCCACATCCACGTCCACGACCACGTCCACGTCCACGACCACGTCCACGTCCACGACCACGTCCACGGCCACGACCACGTCCACGTCCACGACCACGTCCACATCCAGGACCACGTCCACGTCCAGGTCCACGTCCACGTCCAGGTCCACGTCCAGGTCCACGTCCACGACCACGTCCACGACCACGTCGACGTCCACGTCCACGTCCACGTCCACGTCCGCGTCCACGTCCGCGTCCACGTCCGCGTCCACGTCCGCGTCCACGTCCGCGTCCACGTCCGCGTCCACGTCCGCGTCCACGTCCGCGTCCACGTCCGCGTCCACGTCCGCGTCCACGTCCGCGTCCACGTCCGCGTCCACGTCCGCGTCCACGTCCGCGTCCACGTCCGCGTCCACGTCCGCGTCCACGTCCGCGTCCACGTCCGCGTCCACGTCCGCGTCCACGTCCGCGTCCACGTCCGCGTCCACGTCCGCGTCCACGTCCACGTCCACGTCGTGGACGACCACGTCCACGTCTCCGTCCACGTCCACGTCTACGTCCACGTCGTGGACGACCACGTCCACGTCTACGTCCACGTCCACGACCACGACCACGTCCACGTCCACGTCCACGTCCACGTCCCCGTCCACGTCGTGGACGACCACGTCCACGTCTCCGTCCACGTCCACGTCTACGTCCACGTCGTGGACGACCACGTCCACGTCTACGTCCACGTCCACAACCACGACCACGTCCACGTCCACGTCCACGACCACGTCCACGTCCACGTACAAGTCCTCCACGTCCATGACCACGTCCACGTCCACGTCCACGTCCATGCCCACGTCCACGTCCACGTCCACGTCCACGTCCACGTCCACGTCCACGACCACGTCCACGTCCACGTCCACTTCCACGTCCACGTCCACGTCCACGTCCACGACCAGGTCCACGTCCACGACCAGGTCCACGTCCACGTCCACGTCCACGTCCACGTCCACGTCCACGTCCACGTCCACGTCCACGTCAACGTCCACGTCCACGTCCACGTCCACGTCCACGTCCACGTCCACGTCCACGTCCACGTCCACGTCCATGTCCACGTCCATGTCCACGTCCATGTCCACGTCCATGTCCACGTCCACGTCCACGACCATGTCCACGTCCACGTCCACCTCCACGTCCACGTCCACGTCCACGTCCACGTCCACGTCCACGTCCATGTCCACGTCCATGTCCACCTCCACGTCCACGTCCACGTCCACGTCCACGTCCATGTCCACGTCCACGTCCACGTCCATGTCCACGTCCACGTCCATGTCCACGTCCACGTCCACGTCCATGTCCACGTCCACGTCCATGTCTACGTCCACGTCCACGTCCACGTCCACGTCTACGTCCACGTCCACGTCCACGTCCACGTCCACGTCCACGTCCACGTCCACGTCCACGTCAACGTCCACGTCCACGTCCACGTCCACGTCCACGTCCACGTCCGTCCGCGTCCACGTTCACGTCCGCGTCCACGTCCACGTCCACGTCCACGTCCACGTCCACGTCCGCGTCCACGTCCACGTCCACGTCAACGTCCACGTCCACGTCCACGTCCACGTCCACGTCCACGACCATGTCCACGTCCACGTCCACGACCACGTCCAGGTCCACGTCCACGTCCATGTCCACGTCCAAGTCCACGTCGTGGACGACCACGTCCACGTCTACGACCACGTCCACGACCACGACCACGTCCACGTCCACGTCCACGACCACGACCAAGTCCACGTCCACGTCCACGTCCAAGTCCTCCACGTCCACGACCACGTCCACGTCCACGTCCACGTCCATGTCCACGTCCACGTCCACGTCCACGTCCACGTCCACGTCCATGTCCATGTCAACGTCCACGTCCACGACCACGTCCACGTCCATGTCCACGTCCACGTCCACGTCCACGTCCATGTCCACGTCCACGTCCACGTCCACGTCCACGTCCAGGTCCACGTCCATGTCCACGTCCACGTCCACGTCCATGTCTACGTCCACGTCCATGTCCACGTCCATGTCCATGTCCAAGTCCTCCACGTCCACGTCCACGTCCACGTCCACGTCCACGTCCACGTCCACGTCCACGACCACGTCCACGACCACGTCCACGTCCACGTCCACGTCCACGTCCATGTTCACGTCCACGTCCACGTCCACGTCTATGTCCACGTCCACGTCCACGACCACGTCCACGTCCACGTCCACGTCCATGTCCACGTCCAAGTCCACGTCCACGTCCACGTCCACGTCCACGTCCACGTCCATGTCCATGTCCAAGTCCACCCACGTCCACGTCGACGTCCACGTCAACGTCCACGTCCACGTCCACGTCCATATCCACGTGCAGGCCACGTCCACGTCCACGTCCACGCCCACGTCCACGTCCATGTCCACGTCCACGTCCACGTCCACGTCCACGTCCCAACCATGTCCACGTCCGTGTCCACGTCCGTGTCCACGTCCATGTCCACGTCCGTGTCCACGTCCCTGTCCACGTCCACGTCCACGTCCATGTCCACGTCCATGACCACGTCCACGTCCACGTCCAGGTCCACGTCCCTGTCCACGTCCACATCCACGTCCACGTCCATATCCACGTCCACGTCCACGTCCATGTCCACGTCCATGTCCACGTCCACGTCCACGTCCATATCCACGTCCACGTCCACGTCCACGTCCACGTCCACGTCCACGTCCACGTCCACGTCCACGTCCACGTCCACGACCACGTCCAGGTCCACGTCCACGTCCACGTCCACGTCCACGTCCAGGTCCACGTCCACGACCACGTCCACGTCCAGGTCCACGTCCACGTCCACGTCCACGTCCAGGTCCACGTCCACGACCACGTCCACGTCCACGTCCATGTCCACGTCCAGGTCCACGTCCACGACCACGTCCACGTCCACGTCCACGTCCACGTCCATGTCCACGTCCACGTCTACGACCACGTCCAGGTCCACGTCCACGTCCACATCCACGTCCACGTCCACGTCCACGTCCAGGTCCACGTCCACGTCCACGTCCACGTCCACGTCCACGACCACGTCCACGTCCATGTCCACGACCATGTCCACGTCCATGTCCACGACCATGTCCACATCCACGTCCACGTCCATGTCCATGTCCACGTCCACGTCCACGTCCACGACCATGTCCACGTCCACGTCCACGTCCATGTCCACGTCCACGTCAACGTCCACGTCCACGTCCATTTCCACGTCCACGTCCACGACCATGTCCACGTCCACATCCACGTCCACCGCGTCCACGTCCACGTCCTCCGTGTCCACGTCCACGTCCTCCGCGTCCACGTCCACGTCCACATCCACGACCACGTCCATATTCACGTCCACGTCCATGTCCATGTCCACGTCCACGTCCACGTCCATATCCACGTCCACGTCCACGTCCACGTCCACGTCCACCTCCACGTCCATGTCCACGTCCACGTCCACGTCCACGTCCACGTCCAGGTCCACGTCCACGACCACGTCCAGGTCCACGTCCACGTCCACGTCCACGTCCACGTCCACGACCACGTCCAGGTCCACGTCCACGTCCACGTCCACGTCCACGTCCACGTCCACGTCCACCTCCACGTCCAGGTCCACGTCCACGTCCACGACCACGTCCACGTCCACGTCCACGTCCACGTCCACGTCCACGTCCACGACCACGTCCACCTCCACGTCCATGTCCACGTCCACGTCCACGTCCACGACCATGTCCACGTCCACGTCCACGTCCACGTCCATGTCCTCGTCCACGTCCACGTCCACGTCCACGTCCACGTCCATGTCCACGTCCACGTCCACGTCCACGTCCATGTCCACGTCCACGTCCACGTCCTCCGCGTCCACGTCCACGTCCTCCGCGTCCACGTCCACGTCCACATCCACGACCACGTCTACGTCCACGACCACGACCACGACCACGTCCATGTCCACGTCCACGTCCACGACCACGTCCACGTCCACGTCCACGTCCACGTGCAAGTCCACGTCGAGGACGGCCACGTCCACGTCTACGACCACGTCCACGACCAGGACCACGTCCACGTCCACGTCCACGTCCATGACCACGTCCACGTCCACGTCCATGTCCACGTCCAAGTCCTCCACGTCCACGACCACGTCCACGCCCACGTCCACGTCAACATCCACGTCCATGACCACTCCACGTCCACGTCCACGTCCACGTCCAGGTCCATGTCCACGACCACGTCCACGTCCACGTCCACGTCCACGTCCATGTCCACGTCCATGTCCACGTCTACGACTACGTCCACGTCCACGTCCACGTCCACGTCAACGTCCACGTCCACGTCCACGTCCACGTCCACGTCCACGACCAGGTCCACGTCCACGACCAGGTCCACGTCCACGTCCACGTCCACGTCCACGTCCACGTCTACGTCCACGTCCACGTCCACGTCCACGTCCACGTCCACGTCCACGTCCATGTCCACGTCCATGTCCACGTCCACGTCCACGACCATGTCCACGTCCATGTCCACCTCCACGTCCACGTCCACGTCCACGTCCACGTCCACGTCCATGTCCACGTCCACGTCCATGTCCACCTCCACGTCCACGTCCACGTCCACGTCCACGTCCACGTCCATGTCCACGTCCACGTCCACGTCCATGTCCACGTCCACGTCCATGTCTACGTCCACGTCCACGTCCACGTCCATGTCCACGTCCACCTCCACGTCCACGTCCACGTCCACGTCCACGTCCACGTCCATGTCCATGTCCAAGTCCACCCACGTCCACGTCCACGTCCACGTCAACGTCCACGTCCACGTCCACGTCCATGTCCACGTCCAGGCCACGTCCACGTCCACGTCCACGCCCACGTCCACGTCCATGTCCACGTCCACGTCCACGTCCACATCCACGTCCACGTCCCAACCATGTCCACGTCCGTGTCCACGTCCGTGTCCACGTCCATGTCCACGTCCGTGTCCACGTCCCTGTCCACGTCCACGTCCACGTCCATGTCCACGTCCATGACCACGTCCACGTCCACGTCCAGGTCCACGTCCCTGTCCACGTCCACATCCACGTCCACGTCCATATTCACGTCCACGTCTACGTCCACGTCCACGTCCACGTCCATGTCCACGTCCATGTCCACGTCCACGTCCACGTCCATATCCACGTCCACGTCCACGTCCACGTCCACGTCCACGTCCACGTCCACGTCCACGTCCACGTCCACGACCACGTCCAGGTCCACGTCCACGTCCACGTCCACGTCCAGGTCCACGTCCACGACCACGTCCACGTCCAGGTCCACGTCCACGTCCACGTCCACGTCCAGGTCCACGTCCACGACCACGTCCACGTCCACGTCCATGTCCACGTCCAGGTCCACGTCCACGACCACGTCCACGTCCACGTCCACGTCCACGTCCACGTCCATGTCCACGTCCACGTCTACGACCACGTCCACGTCCACGTCCACGTCCACGTCCACGTCCACGTCCACGTCCACGTCCACGTCCACGTCCACGTCCACGACCACGTCCACGTCCATGTCCACGACCATGTCCACCTCCACGTCCACGTCCATGTCCATGTCCACGTCCACGTCCACGTCCACGACCAAGTCCACGTCCACGTCCACGTCCATGTCCACGTCCACGTCCACGTCCACATCCACGTCCATTTCCACGTCCACGTCCACGACCATGTCCACGTCCACGTCCACGTCCACCGCGTCCACGTCCACGTCCTCCGCGTCCACGTCCACGTCCTCCGCGTCCACGTCCACGTCCACATCCACGACCACGTCCATATTCACGTCCACGTCCATGTCCATGTCCACGTCCACGTCCACGTCCATATCCACGTCCACGTCCACGTCCACGTCCACGTCCACGTCCATGTCCACGTCCACGTCCACGTCCACGTCCACGTCCACGTCCAGGTCCACGTCCACGACCACGTCCAGGTCCACGTCCACGTCCACGTCCACGTCCACGACCACGTCCAGGTCCACGTCCACGTCCACGTCCACGTCCACGTCCACGTCCACGTCCACATCCACGTCCAGGTCCACGTCCACGTCCACGACCACGTCCACGTCCACGTCCACGTCCACGTCCACGTCCACGTCCACGATCACGTCCACATCCACGTCCATGTCCACGTCCACGTCCACGTCCACGACCATGTCCAAGTCCACGTCCACGTCCACGTCCATGTCCACGTCCACGTCCACGTCCACGTCCACGTCCACGTCCATGTCCACGTCCACGTCCACGTCCACGTCCACGTCCACGTCCACGTCCTCCGCGTCCAAGTCCACGTCCTCCGCGTCCACGTCCACGTCCACATCCACGACCACGTCTACGTCCACGACCACGACCACGACCACGTCCATGTCCACGTCCACGTCCACGACCACGTCCACGTCCACGTCCACGTCCACGTGCAAGTCCACGTCGTGGACGGCCACGTCCACGTCTACGACCACGTCCACGACCAGGACCACGTCCACGTCCACGTCCACGTCCATGACCACGTCCACGTCCACGTCCATGTCCACGTCCAAGTCCACGTCCAAGTCCTCCACGTCCACGACCACGTCCACGCCCACGTCCACGTCAACATCCACGTCCATGACCACTCCACGTCCACGTCCACGTCCACGTCCAGGTCCATGTCCACGACCACGTCCACGTCCACGTCCACGTCCACGTCCATGTCCACGTCCATGTCCACGTCTACGACCACGTCCACGTCCACGTCCACGTCCACGTCCACGTCCACGTCCACGTCCACGTCCACGACCAGGTCCACGTCCACGACCAGGTCCACGTCCACGTCCACGTCCACGTCCACGTCCACGTCCACGTCCACGTCCATGTCCACGTCCATGTCCACGTCCATGTCCACGTCCACGTCCACGTCCACGTCCACGACCATGTCCACGTCCATGTCCACCTCCACGTCCACGTCCACGTCCACGTCCACGTCCAGTCCACGTCCACGTCCATGTCCACCTCCACGTCCACGTCCACGTCCACGTCCACGTCCACGTCCATGTCCACGTCCACGTCCACGTCCATGTTCACGTCCACGTCCATGTCAACGTCCACGTCCACGTCCACGTCCATGTCCACGTCCACGTCCACGTCCACCTCCACGTCCACGTCCACGTCCACGTCCACGTCCACGTCCACGTCCGTCCACGTCCACGTCCACGTCCGCGTCCCCGTCCACGTCCGTCCACGTCCACGTCCACGTCCGCGTCCAGGTCCACGTCCACGTCCGCGTCCAGGTCCACGTCCACGTCCACGTCAACGTCCACGTCCACGTCCACGTCCACGTCCACGTCCACGTCCACGACCATGTCCACGTCCACGTCCACGACCACGTCCAGGTCCACGTCCACGTCCACGTCCAAGTCCACGTCGTGGACGACCACGTCCACGTCTACGACCACGTCCACGACCACGACCACGTCCACGTCCACGTCCACGACCACGTCCAAGTCCACGTCCATGTCCACGTCCAAGTCCTCCACGTCAACGACCACGTCCACGTCCACGTCCATGTCCACGTCCACGTCCACGTCCATGTCCACGTCCACGACCATGTCCACGTCCACGTCCACGTCCACGTCCACGTCCATGTCCACGTCCACGTCCACGTCCACGACCATGTCCACGTCCACATCCACGTCCACGTCCACGTCCACGTCCATGTCCATGTCAACGTCCACGTCCACGACCACGTCCACGTCCGCGTCCACGTCCACGTCCACGTCCACGTCTATGTCCACGTCCACGTCCACGTCCACGTCCAGGTCCACGTCCATGTCCACGTCCACGTCCACGTCCACGTCCATGTCCATGTCCAAGTCCTCCACGTCCACGTCCACGTCTATGTCCACGTCCACGTCCACGACCACGTCCACGTCCACGTCCACGTCCAAGTCCATGTCCACGTCCACGTCCACGTCTATGTCCACGTCCACGTCCACGACCACGTCCACGTCCACGTCCACGTCCACGTCCATGTCCACGTCCAAGTCCACGTCCACGTCCACGTCCACGTCCGCGTCCACGTCCACGTCCATGTCCATGTCCAAGTCCACCCACGTCCACGTCCACGTCCACGTCAACGTCCACGTCCACGTCCACGTCCATGTCCACGTCCACGTCCACGTCCACGTCCACGTCCACGCCCACGTCCACGTCCATGTCCACGTCCACGTCCACGTCCACGTCCACGTCCACGTCCCAACGATGTCCACGTCCGTGTCCACGTCCGTGTCCACGTCCGTGTCCACGTCCGTGTCCACGTCCCTGTCCACGTCCACGTCCACGTCCATGTCCACGTCCATGACCACGTCCACGTCCACGTCCACGTCCACGTCCATGTCCACGTCCAAGTCCATGTCCATATTCACGTCCACGTCCACGTCCACGTCCACGTCCACGTCCACGTCCACGTCCACGTCCACGTCCACGTCCACGTCCACGTCCACGTCGAGGTCCACGTCCAGGTCCACGTCCACGACCACGTCCACGTCCACGTCCACGTCCAGGTCCACGTCCACGTCCACACCACGACCACGTCCACGTCCATGTCCACGACCATGTCCACGTCCACGTCCACGTCCATGTCCATGTCCACGTCCACGTCCACGTCCACGACCATGTCCACGTCCACGTCCACGTCCATGTCCACGTCCACGTCCACGTCCATTTCCACGTCCACGTCCACGACCATGTCCACGTCCACGTCCACGTCCACCGCGTCCACGTCCACGTCCTCCGCGTCCACGCCCACGTCCTCCGCGTCCACGTCCACGTCCACATCCACGACCACATCTACGTCCACGACCACGACCACGACCACGTCCATGTCCACGTCCACGTCCACGACCACGTCCACGTCCACGTCCACGTCCACGTGCAAGTCCACGTCGTGGACGGCCACGTCCACGTCTACGACCACGTCCACGACCAGGACCACGTCCACGTCCACGTCCACGTCCACGTCCATGTCCACGTCCAAGTCCACGTCCACGTCCACGTCCACGTCCACGTCCACGTCCATGTCCATGTCCAAGTCCACCCACGTCCACGTCCACGTCCACGTCAACGTCCACGTCCACGTCCACGTCAACGTCCACGTCCACGTCCACGTCCACGTCCACGTCCACGCCCATGTCCACGTCCATGTCCACGTCCACGTCCACGTCCATGTCCACGTCCACGTCCACGTCCGTGTCTATGTCCACGTCCGTGTCCACGTCCGTGTCCACGTCCCTGTCCACGTCCACGTCCACGTCCGTGTCCACGTCCCTGTCCACGTCCACGTCCACGTCCGTGTCCACGTCCATGACCACGTCCACGTCCACGTCCAGGTCCACGTCCATGTCCACGTCCACGTCCACGTCCACGTCCACGTCCACGTCCACGTCCATATTCACGTCCACGTCCACGTCCATGTCCACGTCACGTCCACGTCCACGTCCATATTCACGTCCACGTCCACGTCCATGTCCACGTCCACGTCCACGTCATCCACGTCCACGTCCACGTCCACGTCCACGTCCACGTCCACGTCCACGTCCACGTCCACGTCCACGTTCAGGTCCACGTCCAGGACCACGTCCAGGTCCACGTCCACGTCCACGTCCACGTCCACGTCCACGACCACGTCCAGGTCCACGTCCACGTCCACGTCCACGTCCACGTCCACGTCCACGTCCACGTCCACGTCCACGTCCAGGTCCACGTCCACGTCCACGTCCACGTCCACGTCCACGTCCACGACCACGTCCACGTCCACGTCCACGTCCACGTCCACGTCCACGACCATGTCCACGTCCACGTCCACGTCCACGTCCACGTCCACGTCCACGTCCACGTCCATGTCCACGTCCACGTCCACGTCCACGTCCACGTCCTCCGCGTCCACGTCCACGTCCTCCGCGTCCACGTCCACGTCCACATCCACGACCACGTCTACGTCCACGACCACGACCACGACCACGTCCATGTCCACGTCCACGTCCACGACCACGTCCACGTCCACGTCCACGTCCACGTGCAAGTCCACGTCGTGGACGGCCACGTCCACGTCTACGACCACGTCCACGACCAGGACCACGTCCACGTCCACGTCCACGTCCATGACCACGTCCACGTCCACGTCCATGTCCACGTCCAAGTCCTCCACGTCCACGACCACGTCCACGCCCACGTCCACGTCCACGTCCACGTCCAGGTCCATGTCCACGACCACGTCCACGTCCACGTCCACGTCCATGTCCACGTCCATGTCCACGTCTACGACCACGTCCACGTCCACGTCCACGTCCACGTCCACGTCCACGTCCACGTCCACGACCATGTCCACGTCCACGTCCACGTCCACGTCCATGTCCACGTCCACGTCCACGTCCACGTCCACGTCCACGTCCACGTCCACGTCCACGTCCACGTCCACGTCCACGACCATGTCCACGTCCACGTCCACGTCCACGTCCACGTCCACGTCCACGTCCTCCACGTCCACGTCCACGTCCTCCGCGTCCACGTCCACGTCCACATCCACGACCACGTCTACGTCCACGACCACGACCACGTCCATGTCCACGTCCACGTCCACGACCACGTCCACGTCCACGTCCACGTGCAAGTCCACGTCGTGGACGGCCACGTCCACGTCTACGACCACGTCCACGACCAGGACCACGTCCACGTCCACGTCCACGTCCACGACCACGTCCACGTCCACGTCCATGACCACGTCCAAGTCCTCCACGTCCACGACCACGTCCACGCCCACGTCCACGTCAACATCCACGTCCATGACCACTCCACGTCCACGTCCACGTCCACGTCCACGTCCACGTCCACGACCATGTCCACGTCCACGTCCACGTCCATGTCCTCCACGTACACGTCCACGTCCTCCTCGTCCACGTCCACGTCCACGTCCACGACCACGTCTACGTCCACGACCACGACCACGTCCATGTCCACGTCCACGTCCACGACCATGTCCACGTCCACGTCCACGTCCACGTCCAAGTCCACTTCGTGGACGACCACGTCCACGTCTACGACCACGTCCACGACCAGGACCACGTCCACGTCCACGTCCACGTCCACGACCACATCCACGTCCACCTCCATGTCCACGTCCAAGTCCTCCACATCCACGTCCACGTCCACGTCAACATCCACGTTCACGACCACGTCCTCGTCCACGTCCACGTCCACGTCCACGTCCACGACCATGTCCACGTCCACGACGACGTCCACGTCCACGTCCACGTCCATGTCCACGTCCACGTCCACGTCCACGACCACGTCCACGTCCACGTCCATGTCCAATCCACGTCCACGTCCATGTCCACGTCCACGTCCACGTCCACGTCCACGTCCACGTCCACGTCCACCTCCATGTCCACGTCCATGTCCACGTCCACGTCCACCTCCATGTCCACGTCCACGACCATGTCCACGTCCACGTCCACGTCCGCGTCCACGTCCACGTCCACGTCCACGTCCACGTCCGCGTCCACGTCCACGTCCACGTCCACGTCCGCGTCCACGTCCACGTCCGGTCCACGTCCACGTCCGCGTCCACGTCCACGTCCACGTCCACGTCCACGACCACGTCCAGGTCCACGTCCACGTCCACGTCCACGTCCACGTCCACGTCCACGTCCACGTCCAGGTCTACGTCCACGTCCACGTCCACGTCCACGTCCACGTCCACGTCCACGACCACGTCCACGTCCACGTCCACGTCCACGTCCACGTCCACGTCCACGACCATGTCCACGTCCACGTCCACGTCCACGTCCACGTCCACGTCCACGTCCACGTCCACGTCCACGTCCACGTCCTCCGCGTCCACGTCCACGTCCTCCGCGTCCACGTCCACGTCCACATCCACGACCACGTCTACGTCCACGACCACGACCACGACCACGTCCACGTCCACGTCCACGTCCACGTGCAAGTCCACGTCGTGGACGGCCACGTCCACGTCTACGACCACGTCCACGACCAGGACCACGTCCACGTCCACGTCCACGTCCATGACCACGTCCACGTCCACGTCCATGTCCACGTCCAAGTCCTCCACGTCCACGACCACGTCCACGCCCACGTCCACGTCAACATCCACGTCCATGACCACTCCACGTCCACGTCCACGTCCACGTCCAGGTCCATGTCCACGACCACGTCCACGTCCACGTCCACGTCCATGTCTACGTCCATGTCCACGTCTACGACCACGTCCACGTCCACGTCCACGTCCACGTCCACGTCCACGACCATGTCCACGTCCACGTCCACGTCCACGTCCATGTCCACGTCCACGTCCACGTCCACGTCCACGTCCACGTCCACGTCCACGTCCACGTCCACGTCCACGACCATGTCCACGTCCACGTCCACGTCCACGTCCACGTCCACGTCCACGTCCAAGTCCACGTCCACGTCCTCCACGTCCACGTCCACGTCCTCCGCGTCCACGTCCACGTCCACATCCACGACCACGTCTACGTCCACGACCACGTCCATGTCCACGTCCACGTCCACGACCACGTCCACGTCCACGTCCACGTGCAAGTCCACGTCGTGGACGGCCACGTCCACGTCTACGACCACGTCCACGACCAGGACCACGTCCACGTCCACGTCCACGTCCACGACCACGTCCACGTCCACGTCCATGACCACGTCCAAGTCCTCCACGTCCACGACCACGTCCACGCCCACGTCCACGTCAACATCCACGTCCATGACCACTCCACGTCCACGTCCACGTCCACGTCCACGTCCACGACCATGTCCACGTCCACGTCCACGTCCATGTCCTCCACGTACACGTCCACGTCCTCCTCGTCCACGTCCACGTCCACGTCCACGACCACGTCTACGTCCACGACCACGACCACGTCCATGTCCACGTCCACGTCCACGACCATGTCCACGTCCACGTCCACGTCCACGTCCAAGTCCACTTCGTGGACGACCACGTCCACGTCTACGACCACGTCCACGACCAGGACCACGTCCACGTCCACGTCCACGTCCACGACCACATCCACGTCCACCTCCATGTCCACGTCCAAGTCCTCCACATCCACGTCCACGTCCACGTCAACATCCACGTTCACGACCACGTCCTCGTCCACGTCCACGTCCACGTCCACGTCCACGACCATGTCCACGTCCACGACGACGTCCACGTCCACGTCCACGTCCATGTCCACGTCCACGTCCACGTCCACGACCACGTCCACGTCCACGTCCATGTCCAATCCACGTCCACGTCCATGTCCACGTCCACGTCCACGTCCACGTCCACGTCCATGTCCACCTCCATGTCCACGTCCATGTCCACGTCCACGTCCACCTCCATGTCCACGTCCACGACCATGTCCACGTCCACGTCCACGTCCGCGTCCACGTCCACGTCCACGTCCACGTCCGCGTCCACGTCCACGTCCACGTCCACGTCCGCGTCCACGTCCACGTCCGGTCCACGTCCACGTCCGCGTCCGTGTCCACGTCCACGTCCACGTCCACGTCCACGTCCGTGTCCACGTCCACGTCCACGTCCACGTCTACGTCCACGTCCACGTCCACGTCCATGTCCACGTCCATGTCCACGTCCACGTCCACGTCCACGTCCATGTCCACGTCCACGTCCACGTCCACGTCCATGTCCACGACCACGTCCACGTCCACGTCCACGTCCACGTCCATGTCCACGTCAAAGTTCTCCACGTCCACGTCCACGTCCACGTCCACGTCCATGTCCACGTCCATGTCCACGTCCACGTCCACGTCCACGTCCACGTCCACGTCCACGTCCACGTCCACGCCCACGTCCACGTCCACGTCCACGCCCACGTCCACGCCCACGCCCACGCCCACGCCCACGTCCACGCCCACGTCCACGCCCACGTCCACGTCCACGCCCACGTCCACTTCCACGTCCACGTCCACGTCCACGCCCACGTCCACGTCCACGTCCACGTCCACGTCCACCTCCACGTCCACCTCCACGTCCACGTCCACGTCCACCTCCACGTCCACCTCCACGTCCACGTCCACGTCCACGTCCCCGTCCACCTCCACGTCCACGTCCACGTCCACGTCCACGTCCATGTCCACGTCCACGTCCACGTCCATGTCCACGTCCACGTCCACGTCCCAACCATCTCCACGTCCACGTCCACGTCCATGTCCACGTCCATGTCTACGTCCACGTCCACGTCCGCGTCCATGTCCGCGTCCACGTCCACGTCCACGTCCAGGTCCACGTCCACGTCCATATCCACGTCCATGTCCACGTCCACGTCCACGTCCGCGTCCATGTCCGCGTCCACGTCCACGTCCACGTCCATATCCACGTCCACGTCCACGTCCAGTCCACGTCCATGTCCACGTCCACGTCCATGTCCACGTCCATGTCCACGTCCATGTCCATGTCCACGTCCATGTCCACGTCCACGTCCATGTCCACGTCCATGTCCACGTCCACGTCCACGTCCACGTCCACGTCCTCAACACCTGGGCCTTCTAAACCGGCAGGGCCAGACGCAACCTACGCGGAGGCTCTGTATAAGTACAAAAGCGAGTGGCTCGAGCGGTTTTCGTGGCTTATTCTGCTAAAAAAAGCTGACGGTTTCCCCGCTTTCAAGTGCAGCATTTGTACGGAGCACGCAGGCTACGCTGGACCGTGTGGGAGAGGCGGAAAGGGCGCCACAGACGTTTAGACGCAGGCGTTCAAACGGCATGCGGCAACTACCAAGCACAAGGAGGCGTTGAAACACTAGCAGAAGCTTCTCGACGACGTCGCCCATTCGGCAATGTGGCAGCACCACCCGAAAGAGAGGGAGAGGGCAGGGATAGCACGGGAAAGGAGGCCCTAGAGGAGGAAGAGTGGGCAGAACGACAGGCTAAGGGAAGAGAAGATGATGATGACAAGCAGGCCTCATCAGATGATGATTACTGAACTCACCCAGACCCAGAGTCATGCTGGATGCAATGCATAGCTAGCTAGCAAGCAAGATAGGCTTTGGTTTACAACACAGATAGATAGATTGAAGGCTGTTTGCGACCTTCATAGAGTTTTAAGTTAAAAAAATCAGCTTCACTACTATCAGCCTTTTTCTATAGGTGACACTGATGCATCAGACTTTTTTTATAAGTAACACTGAACTTTCAGGCTTTTTTCCTAGGCGACCCTGTCGATCAGGGTCTAGGGCCAGAGGGACCCTGATACCCTTACGTGCCTCAAAGTGAATCTGAGGGCCTGCTTTGGGTCGCCATGAGAGACTACCGGCGAAGAAAGACTGCGGCAAAACATTTGGCACAACCCATGCGCTCCCGTGGGAGATTGGGACCGGGGGCCTCGCGCCAGCCGGAAACGGACCTGTGGGTCCTGTGCGGTGCTGGCCAGCGAGCTCCCCAGGGGGGAGGAGGACCGGTGGGTCCTGTGCGGTGCTGGCCAGCGAGCTCCCCAGGGGGACCGGTGGGTCCTGTGCGGTGCTGGCCAGCGAGCTCCCCAGGGGGGAGGAGGACCGGTGGGTCCTGTGCGGTGCTGGCCAGCGATCTCACCAGGGGGGAGGAGGCCCGGTGGGTCCTTTGCGGTGCTGGCCAGCGAGCTCCCCAGGGGGGAGGAGGACCGGTGGGTCCTGTGCGGTGCTGGCCAGCGAGCTCACCAGGGGGGAGGAGGCCCGGTGGGTCTTGTGCGGTGCTGGCCAGCGAGCTCCCCAGGGGGGAGGAGGACCGGTGGGTCCTGTGCAGTGCTGGCCAGCGAGCTCCCCAGGGGGGAGGGCGACCGGTGGGTCCTGTGCGGTGCTGGCCAGCGAGCTCCCCAGGGGGGAGGAGGACCGGTGGGTCCCTTTCTGGCTCGTGAGTTTAGTTATATACTGGTCAAATACCAGGGCTAAAGCCCAAAGTGCAAGGTTTGGACGCGATCACATTTGAGTTGGCTGGTTGAACAAAATTTTGGTGAGTTTGAAATGGTGCACAACTATAGCAGATGAGTAAGAATACCAAGGGCTTAAACATTGACAGATTTACCGTACCCGGATACAAGTTGCATGCACGCTTCGTAATGTGAGCACGGTTGTGACCGCAACAAGGGCTGGGCTCCTACAAGCATCACATCCATCATTACACAGAATACTAACGACCGCTGCCCGTGTCCTCCCATACTGCTTGCGAGTTCGTGTCCGAAGCTCACGTGTGAGCCAAGGCTTATAAGTAACCACTACCGTCATCACCCGGATATAAGACAGTGTTGAATAGTAGACAGGTGTTGTCTATTATACGGGTGTCTCTTATAAACGGGGTAGCCTCATTATAAGACACCTATTTGTGTGTAGGGGCAAATGGCAAATGTATAACGAGGAAGTATCTTCTAAACGGATTTTTGTCCATTTATAAGACTGATTTTTTTAATGTATGAGATAAGACATACCGTACATGTCTTATATCCGGGCGATGACGGTACTGTGCTACACTCACTTAGGGCGACACTCCAATGCAATAGTAGAGAATACTACACCTCGATCAACATCGGTGCCAGGCTGCCAGCCTTCTTCTTCGCGCATGATTGGAACTCCACCGACATGTCGTCGCATAAACCATCAACAACCTTTACCGTCTCCGCAGCATCTCCCCGTCTCATGTCTCAGAAGACCCATTTGAAACGAAGCTCGTTGCCATTGCAACCACAAGAAAGCAAGCTTTCTAAATAGGGGGATGTTGCACTGTTAGGGGCAAAAGGGGGTCCCTCACAAAACAGTATCAAAATAGGAGTCCCACTCCCCTATAGAGAGTCCCAGGGGACCCTTTTACTGGCGGGTCCTATAGCCGGAAGAATACGGTATCACTACCATACCATGCTGCTTCCTGTCCTGGCAGTGGCAAGGCGAATAATCTTCACACTGAATCATTGTTATGCACGGTTCGGGTCCTACAAGGCTACCCTGCATCTACACAAGCTCAACGGTGCTGTCTGCAGCAGCTGCTGCACTGGCTTCAAGCCTTGACAGCGTACCTTCGTATACAGCTTCAAATGCAGCCACCTGCTGTCGACCCTTGTGTTGCAACTCCTCCCACTGCAACTGCTGCGAGTTGCAGTCACTGGCCGTGGAACTCACGACACTACTTAGCGGGTACGGTTGTACGGAAGGCAGGGCCATGGAAAGGAAGGTGGGGAAGGAGGGTCGATGCGCGAGTCCAAGGTTCGCAACAGAGATCGGAAGAGGCAGAAGCGCAAGACGGTTTGAAACAGTGGCAGAGATAGAGGAAGTCGGAGGAAACTCTGGGGAGAGGGCATAGGCAAGGTAGTGCGTAGTATGCGTGGATCTGGTGGAATCCCACTGCGAGTTGAAGATGCAAAGGATAGGCCGGATTGATTGCTGAACCACCTCTTCATGCACATGTCCGGAAGTTGGGCCAATTGCCCCCAGTCTCGTTGTGGGCGCGTGCCAGCGTGCTTGAAACCAGATGCTCCGTGACCGTCGGGTTCCGCTTCATTTCGCAGCTCTGATGCCTGGTGCTTCTGACTATCACCAGACTGCAAGGCTTGTCGCAGGTCGTTAAGCTGTGCGGTCACCGCTGCCTCTCGCATGGACGGCTGAAGGGGGGAATTGGAACGTCGGACAAACCAGCCAATGACACATTCGTGAGGCCCAGCCCAAGATCCGGAGGTGGAAGCGACTGTGTTCCTCCGGCCGTCGCCAGCGACTCCAAACCCCTCGTTCTCCGAAGGGCCCAGGAGCAGCTGCACTCGATCGACGTCCACAGTACCCGTTCCATCGTAGAAGCTTAAGACGCGACCAGCCGACCGAAATCCAGTCACCACCAAACAGAAATCGTTGCGCGAAATCTGCCCATCATCGCCCTGCGCGTCGGAGTATACAGCTGTGGTGCGCTGCTCCAGGCGGCCGAGAAGAAGTCCATCGGTCTCGCCAGCAGCCAATCCATGGACTAGCGACGCGAGCGTTGCACCGGATAGCACTACGCGCTCCATCACCACATCTAGGTAGCTGATTTCGGGCGAGTGACGTGAGATGTGTGATGGCAATTTGATGCTCCCCTGATCTACTCAAAAGAAACTTCATCGTGTGCCCTCGCGTTGCCCGACGCAAAAGGCGTTCATTCATCGGGGAAACAAGTCGGTTGGAAGATTCTGAACACTGCATTCATCACACGGTAACTATATATTTAATACAATCAATCGTGCAAGTCAAGACAAGGAAGCAAGACTTTGCCCAGAAAAGAACTAGAGCAGTGATAATTAGAAGGCTTGATTCGGAACTGAGACACGAGGACTTGCCCTTCCTTGCAAAGCAGGCAGAGGCCAGTGGTTGCTCATGAACTCCAGATCTGCCTCATCCATGTCCCCAACACCTACATCCACACACACACCCATGCTCACACCATCACCACCACCATCACCATCGCCTCCTCCGGCCATCTTACCCACCACCACGTGCTCAAGGCTCTTGATGGGCGCTGACCTGTGCTTCTGAAGCCGCCTGCTGCCTACAACCCGAGGACCTGCCCCTACCCTCGCATGCCCACTGCCACCCCCATTCTCTATATCCCCACTCCCTACATTTCTGCACTCGGGGTCCTCCCAGTCATCTACCACCCCTGTCGCCCTCTCTCGTGATACCCTCTGCCCTACCCCCCTCCTTCTCATCCTCCGCTCCTGCTCTCTGCCCATGTGCTCCCTAGCCTCATCACCACTGCCCACTGGAGATCCAAACCCCTCCACTGCCCACCTTGACCCCCTCTCCTCCCCCATCCACTCAGACTGCTGCATCAACTCCCCCGCACTGTCCATGGCCTGCCCTCTGCTGGCCCACGGGGCACTACTTCTTACCGTGCCCGCCTCCCTCTCGCTCCCACTCCCTGCCTCCCTCCCCCCCGCCTGCGGCATACTGCCTGGCGACTGCCCCACGCCCATGGCATCCCTGAAGTCCTCACTCGCCCACCGCCTCACCTTCCTCGTCCTGCCCGGCCTGCCCACGCCTGACTGTGCCACCCCTGATCTTCCACCACCCGCCACTCCCTGCTCCCAAGGGACGGCAGCCAGGGGGGGGCGCATGGGGCTGCGATTGGTAGGGGCAGGGGATCCGTGGAAGGTGGTTGGGGAGCTGGTGCTATGCGCGTCACTCTCTGCAACCCGGCGCACGGGCCTGGCGGCACTGCTCCCACTGCTGCTCCTCAGTATGTTGCTGCGACCAGCACTGCCACTGGCACTCCGTGGCACTGCGCCTCTGCTGTGAGCAGGGGAGCATGGGGCCAGTGGCACCAGACTGTCAGTGCCTGCATCGAGAGCAGGGAGCCCAGAGCCCTCATGCGCAGAGGGTGGCTCGAGTGCTTGCCCGCTGTCGCCCCACGGCTGGCTGTGCAGTGCGCTCTTGTCATCACTGCGGTCGCGAGTGCAAGGAGCGAGGGGGCCAGCGCTATGACGCATGGCACCACCGCTGCCACCGCTGCAGCTCAGGCAGCTGCAGTTGGGGCGCCGTCCACCAGCGGAATGGGGGCGCTGCAGCATCTGCACTCGCGGCGACGCCTGCAGCATGGGTGCTCCAGCCTCCGCTGTGTGCTCCGGCCACCCTTCAGTGCTCGGGCGCGCACCGACTGACCGTACACATGCGCGGTCAGCAGGCACCGGGGCAGCGGAGGCAGTGAGCGTCGGGGGAGCGTGCGCGGAGGGGGATGTGGAGGCGGTGGTGAACATGCGAACGCGTTGCTGGAAGGGGTGCACGTGGACGAGCGTGGAGGAGGACGGCAGGCTCACTGCCATGGACCGCGACCGAGCATGCCGCACACATGCTTCCCTGCCATCCCCTCCCCACCCCGACTTCATCCTGCTGCTGCCACCACCGCTCCCCGCTGCCGTGTCAACTTCACCTGCACCATGCCGGCCCCCACTGCCACTCGCACTGGCATGCGAGTGCGGCGAGCCCTCACCCACCGCATGCACCTCCTCGCTCTCCTCCACATGCGCCTCTTCCTCCTCCTCCTCCTGCTGTGCCTGCAGCTGCCTGCGCTGCTGTCGCCCGTGCCTCACTACCCACCCCGCCTCCCCGCCACTCCCCCACTCCATCCGCAGCACCTGCACATCTCCCCCGCCCTGTATTGCCCGCGCCCCTTCCCCTCCGCCCTTCCCATCCCTCACCGCTGCGGACGTTTGCGGTCGGGGCGGCAGGGGAGGCATGGGGGAGGCGCTGACGGCACCACTGCTGGAGGAGGGGCGCGCGCTCGCCCCCTCGCCCTCCGACGCGCCCCTGTGGTGCCACGCGCGATTCACCGGCTTGCCCGCCCGCCTCGCGCCGTTGCCAGTAGCCGCGCCAGCACTGCCCTCCAACGCACCACCCGTGATCCCATTCCTGCCCGCTTTACTCTCCTCGCTACCTTCCTCCTCCCCTTTCGCCTCCTGGGGAAGCAAGCGTTTCTCTAGACCCGCTGCCGACGCCTTCTCCCCGTCCCCGCACTCCTCCGAGTCCCTAGCTTGGCACGTGCTACCCCCTCCCGCAGGCCCGTCCGAGCCCATCTCAGCAGCTCTCAGCGCATCCCCACCCTCGTCCGCATCCGCGCCCGCGTCACCATCGCAGATCGCCCCCACAATTCGCTCTCCCGCCTCCGCCACAGGTACAGATCCCCCCTCCTGCCCTCCACGCGTCACCCCCCTCCTCCTCACGGCCTTCGCTATCCGCGGCCGCCGTCGACTGCCCTTCAATCTCCCACGTCGAATCCTCGCGCGCTCCGCTTTCTTGAGGCGCGTCTGTGCCGCGCCTCTCGCTCTTCTCCCAGTCGCCTGTCTCTGCGCCTCCCCCTTGGCTTGCGCCAGCACGCGCGGATTCGCCACCCGCATTCCGCTCAAGGCTGGCGTTCCGCCCCAACACGCTTCCGCGGCTGCGCGAACTATCCGCCGCGGCATCGTGGGCGCTACTGACGCTGCGGGAGCGGCTCAGTGATGCGAGCGGCGGGAAGGTCCGGTGGGACGGGAAGCAGAAGCGCCCGCCGCCCATAACAAGGTCGCCCAGCGCAGCCGTCGCCGCGTTAGCCGCCGCTACCGCGGGCACCACCCACGCGCTCAGCCCGCCGGTCTCCGCCGCCTCCCACACGTCCCGCGCCTCGTCTGGACCAGGCGCCGGCTCTCCGCCCTCCCCTCCCACCCTCCTTTCCGCGTCGCGTTGCCCACCGCCGTGCGGCTGTCCCCCCCGCGAGCCTGGCTGCCGGCGGCGCTTGCGGCGGATCGAAGACAGCAAGCGGGAGAGCCGACTCCGACCGCCCTCACCGGCGAGCCCGTCGGCGCATTTTCCGGATCCGGCTCCGGCAGTGGCGCTACGCCTGGCGTCCGCATGTGGCGCAGGGCAACGCGAGCCGACAGCGCCTTTGGCATCCGGGGTCTCCGAGCTGCTGCCATCGAATTTGCGGATACCGTTTGCTCCGACGCTGTGAGTGTTGTATGATTGGGCACATGCGATGTTGCGATCCTCGCGGTCATGGGCATGCGCCGAGGGATCGCACACAGCAACACCTGCATCCGATGAAGTCACCGCTCGTTGCGGTTTACCGTGATTTCCCGCGCATTCCCGGTCCGCAGGCGAGGCGGAGAAGCAGCAGGCCAAGACGGCAGTGGGCGCGAAGGACCAGCGACGAGCGGGCGGGTCGAGGGATGACGCTGGCATGGCGGCGGTCATTGCGGAAATATGCAGTGGGGAAGACGCTTTGCGCAGATTGCCGACTGGCGGCAAAATATGGCAATGGATGTCGCACGGCGAAGGGCACAAGTGAATGCGGCTGAAGGGGTCAACAGAAGTGAGTTGGGTATTGCAACACTACAGCAGATGGTTGCTCGGGGAGTTGGTGGTGTCGTTTGTGTGTGCTCCACTTCGTCTGGCTTGCGCAGCCAAGGCCGCCTCTGCAACCGTGTTGCACGCACACCAGCATCACTGCCTTTGCGCGGCAGAGGGTAGGGGGAGGCGCAGTGGATAGGTTGGGTGGAGGGGAAAGGGCAGCGCGGAAAGGCGGAGATGGATGGACGGGAAGGCTGGGAACGACATGCACAGACGAACCAACAGATCTGCACGTTGCGTTGCGAATGTTGTCGAAGCTCGCAGGTGTGACAGCACGTCCACATCGGGTAACCCGCACCCAAGTTCCACACTGCAATGATTCTCGCCCAACACACTTCCCAGCAGACTGACTCGGTAGCAGTTTCAATTGTACTTCATTAGGAGCTCACAAGCCCCAGCGCAATCCAACAATAACAAACGATTCAAGAGTTTAACAACTAATGAATTCACTTGTTGAGCAAGTATTCCTTCCGTGATGCCACTCACTAGCAGAGGGCAATACGATGTACACATTAATGTGTAGCAAGGTCACAAGGTCCCGAGTTTAGCTTTGAGCTGGTCCCACAAGCGGAGTCACCAAGAGTTCTGCGATTGCTGCACCAAAGCTTGCACCGCGGCCCGGTCTGGGAGGCTTGGCATGGCTCCCTTCTTTTGTACACACAGCGAAGCAGCACAGGCTGCATGGGACAAGCACAGGAGCCATGAATCAGACCAAGGTCAGAATCGCAATTAAGTGCACAGGGGACAACCCAGACGACTCAAATAGATGTGCTGAAAGCCAATGCCTTACCCCCTACACCTTTCCTCCCCCCGCACCCCCCACAATCCGACCACCCTTGGATGGACTCACAGGCGAATAGCAGCGCATCAGCATCGGAGGAGCCGGACAGCAGTGCCACGGCATATGCAGCGGTTGAAGGTATCGCCGGCCCCTGTTGTGTCCACCACTGTGCGCGCCGGCACCACTGGCTGCCGCAGCTGCCACACATGACCGCCCCGAGCCATCCGTACCCGTGGTGAGAGTGGCAGAGAGGGGCGAGGAGGAGGAGGCGGGTGCGAGAGGGGAGGAGGACACGAGCAAGGAGCCACTGCTGCCCAGCTTCACCAGCACCTTGGGCACTCCCTGGTACAGGTTTCACGAGCGTTGGACAGAGCAGGAAGCAGCAGTGGGGCGCACAAGTGAGTACAGCACGGACGATATTAACTCCATAGGGACTTGGCATGGCATAGCATAGCCACTAAATGAGTTAGCACAAAGGTACTCTCTGCTAACCCGAGACAGCATGCCATCCCAGCATTCGTGCGCCACACCTTGGCCAGCAAGGTGAGCGCAGCCCTCTCGGCGTCGGGGATGGAGGAGACGGGCAGGCCTGTGAGGCGAGACAGCTCCGTCTCGTTGGGGCTCATCACTGCCACGCGCCGCACCATGGCGTCTGGTAGAGGCCCGTCCATGCCCCCCATGTCCAGCACCACTGGCACTCCCGCTGCCCCTGCCAGCTGCATTTGGAACAGGGGAGAGCGAGTGATGGGGGCGAGGACACACGCATCACACACAGGCAGCGACTCTGAGGCAAGACAGAATGCTGTGCCACTGGAACAAACTCCGTTTCCACCTTTCCGTGCGTACCACTGCACTCTCACTCCCGCCCTTGACACGCGCAACCAATCCCACCCACCTCCGCGGCTTCAGCATTGACGTCGTCCGGCAGCTCCCTCTGCAGCAGCACCATGCCCGCCCCGCGGATCGCCTCCCTCGCCTGCTCGCTGAAGAACGACTCCCTGCGCCCCCCACCCCTGCCCTCCACGCGCCTCTTGCTCCACGCCATGTTCGCCCCGCCCACAATGATGATGGCGTTGCTGCCGTCCGCCTGCAGCATCACTATCGCCTGCCCTGTTGCCACACTCCCTTCTCCACCGCCCCCTGCCATGTTAGCAGCCGCAGTCGCAGCAGAAGCAGCGGCAGCGGCCCGCCCCCCCTTGCAGCAGCCTCGCTCTGTCCATCTGCTGCTGCCGCTGCCTCTGCGGCGGCCCGTGCTGCCGCCGACGCCGCTCTCTGGGCTGCAGCTGCTGCCTCTGCCTCCGCCTGTGCGGTGGCTGCAGCGGCACTCGCAGCCCCTGTTCGGAAGTTACCGCCACCAGCAGCCTGTGCCTCCCGGCTCGCAGTCGCCGCAGCCAGCTGTGCTCGTTGCGCTGCCGCATGCGCCTGGCTCAGGGCTGCCTCGGCCTCCGCCTTGGCGGCGTTGGCGGCCACCCACGCTGGGGTGCGCGGACGTCATGGCGGCGGAGGAAGAGGCGGGCGCGGGCGCGCCTAGCGTGACCAGGTGGTCCACGCGCACGCCCGTGCCTGCCAGCGCTGCCGACAGCATCGCGCCGTTGGCGTCGCTGCCCACCTGTCAGCCGCACGCGCCGAGACACGAGGGCGGCGCGCAAGCAAAGAGCGAGTAAGAGAGGGAGAGGTGGGGACGGAATGAGCCCTAGAACAGAGTAAGCGAGAGGGAAACCGGTGGCAGCAGCACGCGAATGCGTGTGGCACCTAGTGTGCTCGCACCTGTCCGATGAGGTACGTGGGATGTCCCAGGCGGGCGCCCGCCGCGGCCTGGTTGGCGCCCTTGCCGCCGGGCAACGTGCAGCCCGAGGTGGCGCTGACCGTCTCGCCCCGCCAGCGGCATGCGCGCCACCTCCACGTACCACGTCCGCGTTCGCCGACCCCACCACCACCAGCGCCTTCCCCGCCGTCAACTGCGCTGCTCGTGCGGACTTCATTTCGGCGCGCGGCGAGGAAACCAGATTGGACCTGCGTGCCGGTGGTGGGTGCGGCGAGGACGAGCGGAACGGGAACAACGGGGCCGCACGGCCCCAACGACGATGAGAATCGCTACTGCGAACAAGAGGGCACGACGCGACGGACCACCGAAACTCGGCGGACGAGCGCAGGGTCGGGGTAACGCGCAGTGGCGAGACAGCAATGACTGCTTCCATGCACAGACGGCCGCACGGAGGGATGAACGTGGGGGACACAGATCTGGCAAAGAACCACTCATAAATCAGGTTGCTGTGGGTGCGGGCGGAAGGCGCATACCTAACCCGTGAATCGCGCGTGTGACGGTGAAGGGGCAGAGACAATGACCGATGTGGATGGTGCTATTGCTGAAGGGGCGTGTACTTGTTTTGTTGGTGTTTTTATCATGTTTGGTCCTCGGGATCACATTGACTGCGAAATGTCTGATTCTTTGTCGCGGACACCAACCCCACTCCACATTCCCTCTGTTCGGCGAATCCCCAATGCAGCCGAACCAATTGCCTCGCCGCCGCCGTGTTAGGAAATCAAGGCGATTCACGCAAGAGAACAATCGAGTCGACTGGGGATTACGCGTGAAGCGGCTATCCAGAATACACTCTTTAGCTTCACCGCAGCAAGGACTGACAGCATCGTGGCATGACAGCATGAGCCGTGAGCAATGCGCCATCTTCAGCAATTCTATGTCCACAGCGCGTGACACGGGAATCTGAGGCGGGAAGCAGAGAAGCGAGAGTACGTCGCACGCGCGCGAACGAGCTGCACGGGCTGGCCGCGGAGAGGCGGAGAGGCGGAGAGGTAGGGCTTGTGTGATACGCTACGCGAGCTGGTGGGCGGAGCCAGCAAGGTGTTGAGCGCAGTGAGTGCGGCACGCGGCGTGCCGTGCGAGCCAGCGATAGGGGCGCGCACGCGGTGTGCTTAGCGACATGCAGTCATGGCGGTCGTCGTGTTGATGCTGGGGAGGGCGCGACTGCTCTGCTGCTGCTGCAGCTGCTGCTGGCGCCGAAACTCGTGGACGTGTGTGGAGGATGAGAGCAGTGGCGCAGTAGTGGGGGCACCTAGCAGTGACGGCGCGCGAGTAGCAGCGGTGGGTGGCAGGGCGGATGGAACGCGATGCACAGGGAGATGGGCGAGGCAGTGACACGGGGGGAACGGTTGTGGCGGTGCTGCACGGATGTCCCGCGGCAGGCGAGAGGATCCCAGCAGGGCGCGCGAGTAGCGAGGAAGCAGAAGAACCCACGACGGCAGCTGCAGCACCACCAGCACCCGCATCGCCGTTTCCAGAAGCAACAGCAGCAGCAGCAGCGGCATCACCAGTACCATCAGCAGCAGCAGCGGCATCACCAGTACCATCAGCAGCAGCAGCGGCCGCATGCGGGGCAGCAGGCGTGGCGGTGGGTTTGCGGGTGCTGCGACGTGTGTACCCCGGCATAGCGCCCCTCGGCCATGTGCTCCGCCACCCACTGCCCCACAGGGGGCACACGCACGCACGCCGACAGGCGTTGCACAGCGTGGCGCACGATGGGGCGAAGGGGAGGAGAGAGCAGGAGTAGGGTGGAGACGAGGCGGAGGGAGGATGTGTGGAGGCGCGCGAGGGCAAGTGTGAAGGGATGGGAGTCACGCGCGCGCAGCAGGGGGGCACGGACAGTGCCACCAACAATGTGGCGGGAGCGGAGAGAGGGTGAGAGGGAGGGCGGGATGGGCGGCAGGAGGGGCGGAAGAGGATGAGGCGGTGGAGCGGATGGTGCAGGAGGCCCTGGCGTGGATGCCCCACGAGCACTGCACTGCGCTCCGTGCCCTGCTGCAGGGGGGCCGGAGGGGAGGAGGCATGAGCAGGCAGGTGGTGGCGGCGAGGATGGCGAGCAGGGAGGGCGCGGTGGCATGCGATGGACACAAGAGGAGGTGCGCTCACATGGGCTGCCATGCCATGCATGGCTTCACTTGTATTGGCATGCCATGGCATGGCGTGGATTGGCTTGGCATGGGTTGGCATGGCTTGGCTTGGCATGGGTTGGCATGGGTTGGCGTGGCTTGGCATGGGTTGGCATGGGTTGGCATGGCTTGGCATGGGTTGGCGTGGCTTGGCATGGAGGGGGAAATTGCTGGCACACACGCGTGAGCGGGGGTGGGATGGCATGTTGTGGCAGGGTAATGTGCAGTCAGCTGTGCCTGCCATGCGAGCTTTCCCCTGTGCAGCTCAGCGCAACAACTTGCAATGGCAGATGAGATGAGAGCAGCTCTCAAAATGACCAGAACAAGCAACATGCGGTGCGGGCAGTGCGGGCATGCATGGGGGGCGCCATGGGCGCATGAACGCACTCCCCATGGAAGCGTGCTGGCAGGGGGAATCAGACGGGTGAGGAGAGGCCTTATGGTGGGTAAGTAGGTGGCTCTGCCATGCATCCATGAAACGTTTGTGTTCTCTTCTCTCTCATTTTCCCCCTCAAGTGTCACCTTCTAGTGTGCTGTGCATTGACCTTGTCCCCCTGCTGTGCTGCCCCTCTCCACGCCTCTGTGTGCCTGGGACATGCGTGCATGGCAGGCCGCCCTTCATGTCGCCACACAGTGAGCTGCAGTGGGCCACGGCGCCGCCATGCCTGCCAGGCCTGCAGCTCAACCACATGGCCACCCAGTCCAACTGAGATGGGAGTTGAAGTGTGCAAAACAGGCTATTTATTATTGTATGCCATGTTACTCAAGCCAACACTGCACGCATCACTTATCAATATTCAGCCTCAGCTACAACCAATGCAACCCTTCTCATGGGACTGCTGTGGGGCCAGTGGGTGGAGAGAGGCATGCAGAGGCTGTGAGCAAGGAAAAAGGCAGCCGCAGCTTAAGCACTGCTAGGCAGGCAAACCACTGTGTGTATGAGCTACCGTCATCGCCCGGATAGAAGACATATATGTCTTATCTTATACATTGGAAAAAATGCTTGCTGTGTCTTATATTTGGGACGGTTTGGTGGTGTCTTATAATTCTTATAAATAGGCAAAATATATAAGAACCATGTAACATTCGGAAAGACTGTAGAAACCACCCACGGGGCGGATTAATTGAAAACAGCCACATTTTGATGCGATTCATGCGCCGCCACCTCGTGCCACGTGATGAGAAGCATCAATGCTGCTTGTGCTGGCAGAATTCCGCCCTGCTGGCAGCATCTCATGATGCTTCTAGTGTCGTTTTGCTGCCAGCAGGGAACAGAGCCTTCTAGAACGCTGCCAGCAGCACGATGGCAGCATCCTGCCATCCTGAGTTGTCCTCTACGAGCAAATTTGCCGTAGAGGAGCGGCTCGTCTTCCAAGGGGGGGGGGGGCACTCTGGAATGGGGGGTAGTCGAGGTTGAGCTTCATTTTTTGCTCGTGAAACTCGAAAGTGGCTCAATCTTAGCTCTAAGCAGGCTCTATCATGCGTAGTAAGCATCCTGCAAGCGCGCCGTCTCCTCTCCCTAACGTCCATGTTACCAACTATGGGCGCATCAACTCGCCCGGTGACGACATCCGGGTAGACATGGCGAAAGAGAAGCGCCAACCGGCGGGAGCTCCAACGCCGGCTCTGGCGGCAAGTTGTGACGAGGAAGAGGGCAACGAAGACGCCGGCGACGAAGATCATGCGACGAGGACGAAGAGGACTGGCCGTGAAAACGGCCACGACGACAGCGCATCTGGTGACGAGGTGCCTGCCGGAGGCATCGACGATGACGACTGGTGGATGCAAGCCGATAGGCTCCGACGACGATGTGAGGAGTGGCAACGCCTGGCGACGATGACGATGACGGAGGCGCGGATGCGGTTGCTGATGCGGCAGCGGATGCGACGGTAGAAGCTCAGGCGGCGGGTGCAGATGCGGAGGCGGAAGCAGATGCGGATTGCGGAGGCGGATGCAGATGCGGGATGCGGAAGGCGGATGAAGATGCGGATGCGGAGGCGGATGCAGATGCGGAGGGCCGAAACAGGCGCAAATACGGCTGCTGTTGTGGTGGCGGAGGCGGGTGATGGCCGTGGATGCTGTCTTCTTCGAAGGCGAGGACGACGCGGACGACCCATGGCGCGTCTCGTCAGATGATGACGTGCCTCTGTTGAAGAGGCGGCTGCGTCACAGCCTAGGCGTGTCCCGGAAAAAAAACCCGGGTGCTGCCTCTCGGACGACGACAGCCCGGATGAGGAGCGGCGACCCCGCGTCCCTTGCTGCTGACAAGGGGAAGGCTAAGGTGGTTGAGGTTCCTGCTAAGGTCGCCCCTCGCGTCGGACAGAGCAAGAAGAAGTGGAAGGACGATGGCGACCCGGGTTCAAGCAAAGGCGCGAAGAGGCAGAAGAAGAAGGCTGTCAAGAACAAGGACGACATCTTGGTAAACGAGGCGCAGGGCAGGTGACGACGACTACGCGGAGGCTGCAGGCCCCATGCCTTCATTCCCTGAGAAGGCGAAGCCAAAAGACCCCACCATCTGTAATGCTAACTCCCGCCCCCCTTCCCCACGCAGTCGCGGGATTAAACGGACCAGGCGGAGCTGGTCCGGTGCGCGAAAAGGTGAAGTGGGGCGCGTCGCTACGCGGAGCTCGGCTCCCTCAAGAAGACCTCGGCCGAGTCTTCGGGCGAGCATCGCGTGCATCAGACGCTGGAGCGCGCAGGCTGCAGCGGGCATGTACAAGGGCGCTGCGAATTCTCGCAAGCGCATGCATGGTGGCAGGCCGCCACTCCACCACCACCCCGACATGGAGGCGGGCGCTGTACCGATACATCTGCCTGCAATCGCGCGAAATGGGGTTGGCGATCTCGGTCAAGGACACGCAGAGGAAAGTGGAGCCGGGAGTGGAATGAAGAAGCACCACCCCGGGGAAGAACTGGAACGCGAGCTCCCACTGGAGCCAACGTTTTCCGCGACCGCTGGAATCGTCGTCATGCGGGTGAAGACAAAGGTTGGCCAGCGGTTGTCGGCTGGTGAGTGGTTCTAGGCTGTGAATTCACTGCGCATTGTCAACTCCTTGTCCTTACCACGATATAAACTTGCATATCCCGACTCATCCCATCCTTGTGTGTGTTCTTTTGCCTTGGCAGAATGCGCAAAAGACTGCGAGTCTTTTTGGAAGTTCGTCAGGATCAACAGGGCGCGGCACAACATCGACCCAAGCCGCATCATCAATGCGGATCAAACGCCCCTCTTCGTTGAAATGCCGGCCGAGAGGACCCTTGACCACCGTGGTGCGCGCTCGGTCCCGATCCGCACGGCCGGCTACGAGAAGACGCGGCTGACAGTGATGCTCGCGTGCACGGCATCCGGGGAGAAGCTGCGGCCGTGGGTTTGGTTCAAAATGAAGAACGTGCCGAGGTGTGACGTCCCCGCTGGTGAGCTAAACGAATTTGGGTTTAGGGAGACCACCGTGGCCCTGTTTGGCTCACTCCCCTATCTCCCTATGTGCCTGGCAGGAGTGGTGGTCCAAGCACAGGACAGCGGTTGGATGGACGAGACCGCTGTGCAGACTTGGCTGACGAAGGAGGTGCTGCCTCATCTCAACCCCCAGCGGGGCCAGTGCGCACGGCGTGCGATGCTGGTTCTGGATTCGTACCGCGGCCACATCACCCAGGGCATGCTTCGCAGCCTATCGCACGCACAGCATCACTCCGGCTGTAATCCCCTGCAGGTTTGCAACAGTCAAATTCAACCACTTGACGTTTCCATCAACCGGTGTTTCAAGGCCGGGGTCGAGCTCGCTACGCTAGGTGGTTCATGCGTGAAGGGCCTTTACCTGAAGACGAAGAACGGTGAGTCCACTGTCGGTGATCAGTAAATGCCTGCCAGTGTAGCTCTTGATGTACGGTATCTACGGCACGTTTGCTCTGAATGTGACCCACCCGCAGGGGAACCTGAGGAGACCCCCGCATCCCGTGGTGCTGGCAGTGGATAGCGAGGCGTGGATCAAGTCCCTAGGCAGGTGATCATTGACTGCGTTCCGTCACTTGCGGCACTCAAGCAAGCTGGATGGGACCGAGAACCATCTGGTGATGTCCCCACCTGCACTCCAGGGAGCACCACCGATGTCACCGCGAGACATAGTGCCTCGGGGGCACCACGGGCGACAACACGCGCCTGCTTGGGAAGGCTCCCGAGGAGGAGGAAGGAGAGGAGATGCAGGCGGTAGGGCGTGAAAGAGGTGGCCGGTGGCCACCGGCCTGGAGGTGCTGTACCAGGAGACCCCTCACTACCAGGGTGAGCGGCGGCCGAGGCTGACCGCATGATCGAGCCCGGTGCAGACAGCCAGGCACGCCTGCGAGTGCCCAGACTTGGGGATGCAGAGCCACCATCTACTAGTGCAGATGAGGTGCGTAACAGAGGGGGGCTAGGTAGAAATAGTAAGATTTGGATAAATGCATGCATGTACCACCCCCCACCCCTGAATGCAAGAAACCGTTATAAGACACCCACCCCCTTTATAAGGAAACCCTAAACCTAGCCTGTTTTAGTAGGCACTGTCTTAAGTCGTGACACGCTTGTAGTGGCTTATAATCGGAAGCACACCAACTATAAGAAACACCCGTATTAAAGACACCCCCTGTCTTCAATCGACACTGTCTTCTATCCGGGCGATGACGGTAAGTGTTAGGTGGAGGCATCCTATCGTAGGTGCAGCTTGGTCTAAAATGCACATGATTCTCACAGCTGCATGCAATTCCTTGCACAACAACACGTCTGTGCTACAATGGTCCTCCAGTGGTCATGAGGGGAAGCAGTTGGGTCAGCAGGGAAGAGGCGGGTGTGTGTGAGGGGCGGTGGAGGGCGGGTGGAAGAAGGGCAGCACAACAGAGGCGAGTTGGTCCTCCTCGATGGCTTGGTCATTACCCGTCCATGCCCACCACTGCACACCGCTCCCGCGTGCCCCCACCACTGTCCGCCGTGAGGGGCAAAACACCAGCAGGCGCTGCCGCGGTGCAGGGCGGACCAGGGGGCGTGCAGGGCGATGCAGGAGGCGGAGCATGGGGATGACGGCGAGGGGGGAGCGACAGTGCCACGCTGTGCTGTGGCTGCTGCTGGCAGTGGCGACGGCACCCCAGGGGGCGGTGGTGCTTGCGTATGAGGATCAGCTAGTGCGACTGGCGTGGCAGGCACGCTCTCCTGTGCGGTGGCAGCAGTGGGCAGCGGTGCCGTGCAGGCAGCACCTTGAGCGGCCTCCATGTTGCGAATGGCCCTGGTGGCCTGGAAGCCGTTCATGCCTGGCATCTGAGGTGCGGGCAGGGGGGAGCAAGACACAGACGCATGGGCAGCAGGCAGAGGTGGCGTTTGAACGAGAACCGAGAATTGACAGCTAGAGCCACAAGCATGCACATGGATGTGGTGTGCCGCTTGCATCAGGTTAAATTTGGCATGGCACCTGCCATGCAGCATGGGCCATGCAGCATGTGGCATGGGAATGCCACTTCCATGTTCAGATACGCATGGGGCATGGGGCATAGGGCATGGGGCATGTGAGTCCACCTGCACGTCCATGAAGACCCCCACGAATTCATGTGGCTGCTGCAGGCGCTGCAGCGCCTGTGCGCCCCCCTCCACGGCTTCCACATGCACACCGTAGCGCTGCAGCATCTTGCTGATCACCTTGCGGTTCACCATATTGTCATCCACCTGCCATGCGCACGCCTCACCCCACCCCCATACACACAGCGAAGCACAGTCAAGGAAGAGGATATTGTGGTGCACACATGCATAACGGGCGCCACACAAGAATACGTGAGGAGCAGCAGGGGGGGTGTGCAGGGAGCAGCATGATGCTGTTGAGCATGCGTGCATGCAACACACGACCACTGACCACGAGGAACTTGGAGCCTTCCAGAGCATGGCACAGCCCTGCAGCAGCAGCGCTCTTGTGCCTTGCACTGCTCATCACACCGCCACCAGCCACGTCTCTTTTTCCTCTTGTGGCCCCTGCTGCCAACTGGGTTCCTGCATCCTCTGCTGCCACTGCTGGGACATGCTCACCCACCACATTCCCTGCCATCCCCCCACGCCCCTCACGTGCAGACCTTGCACTAGCCTCCTCGCCCCCACCACCGCCCTCCCTCACATGTGCCTGCTCCGCCCCTAGCCCTTCTCCTCCGTGTGCGCCCCTGCCCGCCCCACACAGCGCTGCCAGAGCACTGGTGCTGCTGCTGCGGTGCTGCATGCCTGAGCGTGCTGCCAGTGGGACGCAGCACCCAGGCACAGCCGGTGACGAACCCACGGACGCACTCAGCGGCAGAAGAGGGGCCTCCTCGCCGCCCTCACTCTCATCGCACACCCCTGCCCGCCCCCCTCGTCCAGCCAGCACGCGCAGCAGGAAGTGTGGGAGAAGCACGGATTGCAGGCATGTGCAGGTCGGGGGCAGGTTGGCGGCCGGGGTATGGGCAGCAGGGGCGGCGTCCATCCCCAGGCCTCCCCCAGCAGCCAGCGAGGGCGGCGTGGCGGATGGCTTGATGATCACGGCTGCCACGCCATGGCGCTGCTTCAGCCCGCCTGCCTGCCTCGCATCACGCAACACCACAATCGCCCGCCACCTCTCCGGCAACCCAAACCACCGCCCTTGCTCGGCCGCTCCTGCCATGCTGCTGTTGGCAGCACCCCCAGTGTGTGGTGTGGCAGCAGTGAGCGCCATGGTGGTGGGAGCGGCGGTACTGCTGCACCACCCACCCCGCTGCTGCTGCCTCCACGCGTGCCGCCACCCCCTGGCCAACCCGCCCCTGTCCGCCAGCCACTCATGCTCCACCACCACCACCATGCCCCGCGCTGCCCACACCGCCTCCCACGACCTGCACTGCCACCTGCACCACCCCCGCACTCACACCTTCCATACCAGCACTCGCGCTGCCAAGGGCGCCTACAGCCATGTCCCTTCCATTCCTCTGCTGACGCGTCTCCCTGCAGGCCGGCAGCGGTACGCGCACTGCATGAGGGCCCCCCTCCACTCCGTGCCCTGCTGCCTGGTGCCCTGCTGCCTGGTGCCCTGCATGGCACATGCAGGCATGGCCATGTGCATGCGCATCAGCATGCAGGACAGTGACTCCAGACGAGCGAGGTACGTGTGCATGACAGCACGGCGCACCGCCCAGTCGTCCAGCACCACCGCCGCCACACCTGCATACGGGCCTGACAGCGCTGCCGGGCACCAACACACAGCTGCCTGCCCACCGCCACCGACGCTGCTGCTGCTGCTGCTTCTGGAGATAGTGCTGCTGCTTCTTCTGCCGCACCTGTGTGGAGGGAGGTGCCTCGTGCACGGGCAGCGGGGATGCACGGAGGGTGGTGTTGGTGGAGGCATGAGGTGGAGGGGCGGAGGGCAGAGGGAGGGCAAGGGGGAGCAGCTGATGCCTAGTGAGGCAGCGGCTGCACCCTGGTATAGCTCGTCCTTGGTGTTGCAGCGTGGGCGGGGAGAGAGGAGGAGCTGTGAACACACAGTCGCTCGAGTTGATACTAGATACCCTCGCCCTGCCCTGCCACCACCCACTGCTGCCCCGGCACTACGAGGAGCAGCAGCAGCAGCGGGTGGTTTGGGGGCGTGAAGGGCACGGTGAAGTCAAAGTAGAAGGTGGTGCCGATGCCAGGGCTGCTCACGAAGCTGAGCTTGCCGCCCATGAGGTGCACCAGGTGCCGTGAGATGGTCAGCCCGATGCCCGTGCCACCATGCGTGCGCGTGCTGCTGGCGTCCGCCTGCACAAAGCGCTTGAAAATGCTCTTCTGCGCACTCAACGGGATGCCCTCGCCCGTGTCCTGCCATGCCACCAGCCCAGCGGGGGGCTTGGCCAGCAAGGGCAGAGGGCGAGAGGGCATAGGTGCACATACAACGTGGATAGCACTGCAGGCAAGAGGTTTGGCGTGCATGGCATGGCGTGGCATTGCATGGCATGGCTAGCGTGATATATGGCAGAGCATGGCAGAAGAGGCATGAGAGGGTGCAGTGTACCTCCACAGACACCACCAGTCGCACCATCCCTGATGATGCTGCCACCCCCTGCCCTCCCGCACCCCCTCTATACTCGCTCCCTGCTCCAATGCACCACCAGACGCCATGGCTTGCTGCTGCATGCGCACATGCGCCCAGCTGTTGCAGCTCTCCACCCGCCATCATACCCACTCAGTGTCTCATAACACTCCTCTCTCTCCCCCTCTCCTTTTCCCTCTCCATACTACCTGCCCTCCTCCCCGCACATGGAAGCACTGTCATCATCCCTGCTGCTGGACCAGCCACCGCCCTCCACGCCCTCCTCCCCCTCTCCGCCCTCTCGCAGCACCCTATCGCCCCCCAGCGTACCTGACCCCAGGTAAGCGCGCTGCAGCGGCCGGGGGCCGGCACCGGGGCCTGAGAGCGCGGGGCGCATGAGGGCGGACGGCGACACCACACGCCACGCCCGAGTCATGGGGGCCTGGGCCTGTGCCACCGCGGTGTGGCAGGGCGTGGGCGGTGGTGGTGGTGCGCGAGTGCAGCAGCAGCACGCGGCGCAGGTCCTCGTCTGAGCGCACGGCACGCACAAAGATGAAGATGTGGCCTCGCGCCGTGTAC